ACCAAAATATTGTAAATGTATTGTGTGGTGGGAATACAACTTTGAAAACTGCAAAAGCAGAGGTAAAAGAACAATCAAAATAGAAATTGGAAACATTGTCAAGATATGAACACGAAAAATCTAGTTTCAAATATATCACACAAGATGGAAGTAGAAAGAGTAATAAGGAAGAAAATACAATTTTTATTGAGGGATGTAGATATACATTAAATGGACGAGATGTTAAGTCCTTCATGACAATGGAATTAGTCAACCAAAATGACTGAGAAGACAATGGTTTTGAGCTCAAGGAATGTTTTTGGCTTTTATTATAGACATTAAAATTATAGGTCTCTTCAAAATTGATGATAGTGTTAAAATAAATGCAAAGAATTATTGTACGTCCTTGGGTAATAAGTTTTTGTGTGATACAGATTACAATTAAGAAACTTTAATTTAAACAGTATATTCATGGGTAATAAGTTTTTGTGTGATACAGGTTACAATTAAGAAACTTTAATCTAAACAGTATATTCATGGGTAATAAGTTTTTGTGTGATACAGGTTACAATTAAGAAACTTTAATCTAAACAGTATATTCATACATGACAGTACATCTTCACATTCTACAAAATTGAATATTACATATGTTGACCAAAATGTTTTTCAAAGGCAACAAATTAATGATATTAATCCAAGAGAAGTTATAAGACTATAATAATAAGAATAATGTGGATATAAGAATTAACACTGCATAGTGACTGTCATTTTCACACATCAATATGATGTTCAGATCATATATATCACACAAGATATTGTAGAAAGAGTAATAAGAAAGAAAATAGAAATAGGGTTGCAGCTTTCTTCTGCAAACTATTGTCCTGTGGAACTGACTCTCAACAGGGTGTTTCCCCGATCACTACAATGTTAACCTTTTCAAGACTAACGTTAACCATTATCTTCCACTCCTATACACATAAATGGTCTTCAAATGACCCTCTACCTCCCCAGGCCTTGTAAAGGGTGAACCTTGCTGTGAAAAAAAAAATAAAATTCATCATAGTATAAATAAATACATATAATAGTTACTAAATAGTTATAATAGTTAATATGTATATAAATAAAAAGAAAGAACAGTAAGATATAAAATCCGATGTTCTTATAGATATTTTTATTTTTACAAAATAGTGCTCAATGTAAATTTACAGAGCATTAATATTATAAATTAATTGATTTAAAATATGTTTTTTTTTTCGCTACACAGTTCAAATATGTTTCAAAAATAGACTTAAAAACCCTGAATTTGCAATTAAATTAAAAGCAACTTTAAAAACCAAGCGAATTTTAAAAGTAACTTTCCAAAACCCGGTAATTTTAAAAAGATGAAATGAATGAAATAATGCTTTTAATTTAATTGCAAAATTAAATTGGGGGTTTTACTTCTATTTTTGAAACATGGTTGGAACTGTGTAGCGAAAAAAAAACATATTTTAAATCAATTAATTTATAATAATAGTTAATATATATATTTACAATTTGCTATATTCATAGGAGAACAGTTCTCAGTAGTGAGTGTTTATAGACATAGTGTAGATATAAGATTTAACACTGCATAGCGACTGTCAGTTTCACACATCAATATAATCTTCAGATCATATGCCATTACTCGTTTAGTAGGCTCTCTATATAAACCATTGGGGAGAAAGGGAAGTAAGGTAAAGAAGAAGCCAGCTCCGCCCAGTTGTTTTGTTTAGGGCTAATAATTAATGTTATTAATGGTCATGATCTCTAGAAAACTATTTTTTATGGGTTTCATACGTTTTGACATAGCCCATTTGGTGTCGCTGATTGTGCATGGCTGATTTGGCATCAAAAAAATAATTGGACTATTTGGCACAGCCGTTTAGCTGTCAGACTCTTTCGACGTCACTGTCTTTGACTGGAGGCAACCCCACCAAAAAAAAAAGGATAAAATCACTGAAAATACCCAAAATTTCAATATGACTTTTTATTCATTTAGGTAATTAAGGATCCTATTAAAACACTAATGGAATAATGTAAATTAAAAACTTAAATTAAAAATATTGTATTTCAAAAGAAATTAAAAACTACTTAGTAAAGCTATTTAATCTTAGAAATTACTTCTTCATTTAGTAATTATGAATTCAATAGAATCTAATGAATCGACTTCCATTATGACTTTTTTGATTCGTTCGTCAGCATCTCTATAATTTTTTTGCTTTTTGGGGGGTGGCTACCCAGCGATCAACTTTTCAAAAATGAAATCACGTCCTTTCTGAACTTCATGTAAGGTATCAATAAATTTCCAGATTGAAGGAGGATGCATTCCTATTTCATATTAAAAACATCAATTGGCAGCTTCAGCATGATTGTTGGTGCAATCTTCATTATTTAGAGTTTATAATGCCTCTAACTAACCCTTTTCTTAAATATAATAATGTCTCCAACTACTCTTTTTCTTAAACTGGACTATTGGAGCATATAATGACAAAGTACTAATTTGACTACTAAATGTGTGTGTGTGTAAGAGAGAGAGAGAGAGAGAGAGAGAGAGAGAGAGAGAAAATTTGACTATAACAATGCAGTAGTAATCTGGCATCTAATCATCCCTCTGCCAAAAAATTCCAATGTTGAAACGGCTATGCCGAATCGGCCATGCTGAATCAGTGATGCCAAATGCGCTATGTCGGAATGTCCTAATCCCATTTTTATATATGTATTTATTATTACCGTACACATTTATTTATTTTGTACTGGCAAAAAGCATTGTTATCTTTCTGGAACAAGATAAATTTCTAAAAAATGTCTGAGCTCATTTCTACATGCAGACAAAAAAAATAAATTCCTATTATGCTACTAAGAACAACACCATGACCTTTCCTTTCTTTTTATGTGCCATGTGATTTCAGGACATAGGCGATCATGGCACTCCACCTCCTATCCCTTGCAGCTCTTAACAAGTTCCTTCCCTCTGCCATCTCCCTCAGACCATGTTCTGTCATCCACTTGCTTAAGCCTGCCAGGTATGTCATGTGCTGTTTCCTTCTGTCTCTCTTTCCCTCTATTTGACTTGTGAGTATCAGATTCACCAAACCCTCCTTCCTCATGTGTCCCAGAAATTTCATCTGCGTCTTCCTGATGTTAAATATAAGCCTCCTCCTTGTTTGCATCCTCTTTAAGACTTCATCGTTGCTCACACACTTGGTCCATGATATCCTTAGCATCCTTCTGTAGAACCACATCCCTGTCACCTTGAGACTCTTCTTCATCTTTGTGGAAATCATCCAAAATTTGCTTCAACACCATGACCAGAAAGACTAAATAAAACTCTATGATATAAATCTAATTAATTTTATTCAAATTACCAATGAAAAATATACCAAAGAAGAAGATACTATATTTTTCTCTCTGTACTGTATAAATGCTTCACCACTTCTTGTTTTCCTGCCTGATGGAAGCCCTCATCTGTTGTTCCAGTTTTTTAGAACTCTGGTGAACAGTCCGATTCATCCAACTATCAACTTATTAGCCATCTACCTCTTTTTGGGAAACTCTTAGAGGCCCTAATCAATAAAAATTGTTTAAGAATCTCGCAGGGCCCTTTTTTCAGACAAAGTTTTTAACTGATCCAATCTTTCCTATAAAATCATGAAATGAAAGTAATCCTGAATGGCTACTCTTCTAATTCCTTTTATACTAATGCAGGTCTCCCCCAGGACTCCATCCTTAGCCCTACTTTGGTAGCTGATATCCAAAATGACCTTCAGTCTGTTGTTGACTGGGGCAAAGGAAGGCTTGTTAACTTTAACACCTCTGAAACTAAACTTCTGTCTATAAATCACCTGAGAGATCCCTCCCTGCCTTCCATCATTATGGCTGATGCTAACCTCCAGGAAAGTGACACATTGCACCTTCTCAGGCTAACGTTCTTGGCTGACTTGAAGTGGAAAGACTATATTGAATCTATTGCTAAGTCAGCTACCAAAAATATATATTGCATGGAGGCACAATTAATTTTAATTTTAGGCTTTTACTTTTTACATGTCTTTATAATTTATTTAAATATATGTTAGAATCTCAAACAACAGTAATCTTTGTCACCTCAAATTAATCAAACTGAAAATGACCAACTAAATATCAAACATATGAAGTTTTATGGATTAAGTTTTAAGTGATAATTCTCTAAATTATGAATACCCTAATTAGACTGTCCTGGGTATGACGATAAACTACATCCGAGTCCAGGGTAAGATGATAAACTACGTCCAACAGCAAGGCTTCTGATCAGGAGGCTTTGAGGAGTGTGGAACCATCTCTTAATTGCTGGTGTTCCCAGGTCCATCCTGACCTGGGGTGGTAGCACCTGTTAGGGTCCCAGCTATGGGCAAATAGTTAACCCTGAAACTGAGGTAAAAAGCATTATGAAAGTGTAAAAATAGGTTTTAATACCAGAAATAATTTGTGGAAAATTGTTACCAGAAATAAATTTTTGAAGTAAAGAACTACTACCAGCAATATGTTTTTGAGGAAAAAAAATATTACCAGAAATAGATTTTTGACAAAACAAAAATATTACCAGGAAAAAAAAGTTGTCGGCATTAAATGACCCATTGTGGTTGATATGCCATAAAACAAAACTGATATGTCACGGAAAGGGATATATTTGTTTGAAGTAGCAAGATGGTTGTTGACTACTGTAACTGGGTAGGACAATCTAACAGGTAACCGTAATTGACTGGTCCTCGTTGTAGTGGTAGGCAATAGGCGTCCTCCCTGTACCTCCACATCAGTCTGTATTTATGGCTGACACCAGCCAATCATATTACTGTGAGGGGGAACCCAGGTGTATGCATATTCATTACATCAAAAACAAACCAAACTAAACCCTAATTAGAGATATTCATTTCATTAATACATATTTTTTTTAAGAATTCCTATGTATACATCAATTCATAAATTCTTTCATGCTTTTCTCTGAAATAAAAAATATTAATACATACCGACAAGTGAATGAATCAGAAGTATTCATACACTGCTGACCAAGACACATGCAGAATACAAAATCTATAAATAAAAGAAATAAAAATTGAAAAATAGAGTTAAGATGTTAAATATATTAAATGTGTATGTATAAGACTTAAAACAAAAAAGAAAAAAAATATGTGAACAATGAACAGTAAAGATATTCAGAATGATGGGATATTTTTTGGCTGTCCATGCAACATCCAAACTTTCTAATTCTCTTATTGAAAAGTGCTAATTTCATTCCATTCACCATTTTCAGGAATACTGCATATTATGTGTTATCTGGCTTAAGAATGAGTAGATGCTGATTTTCTGTGAACATGCATTTAAGATGTGCTTTCATCTTCATGTATTTAATTGTTCAGTGAGCAAGAAAATGCACTAGTTACATTATTCGGACTATTGTCTTCATCTTTGTTGCCATATTTATCACAACGTTTCAGCTGATATATGTGGAACTAGAACAGTCTACCTCAGTGAGTGAAATATAGGGTTCAGTTCGACATTCCAACCCCCTGAAGAAAGCCAGAGTGTACAACGGTCGAAACATGAAAAACATAGTGACAAAGATGAGGACAATAGTCTGAATAATGTAAATAGTGTACATAATACCTCATCTCAGAAATATAGGCAGATAATAAAAATTTATATATTGCTTCCACACACACACACACACACACACATATATATATATATATATATATGTTATTTGTGTGTGTGTGTGTGTGTAATCAATAAATGTAGAATATTAAAAACATTGGCTAAAGATATTAAAGTAACCAAATTACAACCTTTAAGTAAACATTATGGTGAAGAATTTATAAGTTGGGGGAAAAATTACATGAAATTTTAAATCCCAACAGCAATCTTTATTTATGAATGTAGAGATAGAGTGGATGAACATGATGGATGTAAACTATTTATATTATTCGGATTATTGTCCTCATCTTTGTCGCCATATTTATTGCAAGGACACCTGTTACAGTAGATAAAGGTGTTGGCTAGATCCAGTGACAGGACCCAAAGAGTGTGAATTCAATACCTGGTTAAGGTGGTGGAGAACTTGGAGAGGGGAATTAACAGGAGATAACTGATAACTGACATCCATTAGACATGACACGTGGAACTAGAACAGTCTACCCCAGTGAACGAGATTCCAATCACCTGAAGAAGGTCGGAGCATACAATGGTCGAAATGTTGTAATAAATATGGCGACAAAGATGACGACAATAGTCCGAATAATGTAAATAGTGTACATAATACCTCATCTCAGAAATATAGACAGATATAATAATAGTTGCAGAAATTTAATACTATTATGACTCTTGTCGGTGGTATATTGACCAACAAACAGATATCAAATGACTGAAGACAACAACAAACAAAATGAAGACTTGAGTAAAAAAATATCTGCCTATATTTCTGAGATGAGGTATCATAATTATTTATATTATTTGGACTGTTATCCTCATCTTCATTGCCATATTCACATTTTGGCCATTGTATGCTCCAGCCTTCTACTTCTAATGAGGACACATGGCCTAGTGAATAAGAACGTTGAAGAACCAAGACTTGGGGAGTTAAGTTTAAGGGAAATAACTGTGACATCCGGAAGAGGCATGGCATGTGGAACAATCTACCCCGGTGGACACAATAAAGGGTTCAGTTTGAAATTCCAATCACCTAAAGGAGGCTGGCATATACAATGGCCAAAATGTTGTGAATATGGTAACAAAGATGACGATAACAGTCTGAATAATGTAAATAAAAAAAAATATATTGTCAAGTTTATTTTTGTTAAAGAAAAATACATAAACAAAAATAATTTTAGTGTGACTGAAGCAAAAGATAACACTGCAAGCTTATATAGAGGTTGAGGGTAAGGAGGACAGTTTTGTGGCCACTAGAGAGTGAAGTCTAACTCTCTGCCTTCGGGCGGAGAGGAACCTGGATGAGGCTCTGCCAAAGGGCAGAGTCTCGTTCGGGGTGGTTGACTGCCCCTGAGCCCATTTATGCGGGTTCAAAGAGGGAATATTTTTGGCCGAGCCTACAGGCTCAGAGATCCCATGTTAAACCCGGCCTTGTGCCACATGTAACCCTCGTGGGTGTGTAGCTAAATATCACTAGAGTGGATATTCTGAAAAGGACAGTTTATTGCATATCATTGTGTAGGATCAGTTACAAAGCTTCTCTTAGCCAGTCATGGGCATGAAACAGATACTACACTTTGATCATGACATCGATAATTAACAGAGAATCACCAGACTGGGTTTAGTTTTGAGACAAGATCAGGCCACTGGATAAAATATACTCAGCTCCCACTTATGTGGGATCGGGCACAAAGCTTATCTTAGCAGGATTTAGCAATCAAAGCCACGGAACAGATACAACAACTTGATCATAGCCTCTGGGCTGCAGAAGACTCATTTCTGTTGCTTTTACAGCCTCTTTATATGCTGCAGCAGTCTGGAAACAATACTGGTTAAGTTTTTTTTTCTCAGTTGTTTTTAAAAAATTTGGGAGTACTGACAGGATATGACAAGGCCCTCTCCCCAGATAATTGTTAATAACATATGTATGTTTCAAGATGCCTCTGAGAAATGACTTTTCTTCCTGATTTTGTCTGTCTCATGAGAGGTGCATCTGATGTTATTGGTCTGGAGCTAATGCTGACTTGGTCCTGTCGATAGCAATGACTTCTGTAATGTTATACTTGACTGTATTTATTTATTGACTGTATTTATCAGCTTGGCTGATAACTTTGAATGGACCATATTGCTGGGCTTGATGCTTTTCTGTATCAGTATTCTTAAATGGCTGTGTGATTTCTGAGTTGGAACTGCTGCTGATAGCAGGAGCCCTGAGTAGGTGGTCAGTTGCTTCTTTGTTCCTAGTTATCTGGATCATGGAGCACAGCTATTTACCCATGTCTCTCCACTAAGATGGGATGTGATACAAGGCCTGGCTTAACATGGGGAACCCGAGTGTGTACACTCAGGCAAGTTACAAAAGCAACTGTCTGTTGTGCTGGCCTCGGTGGTGAGCACCAATCTCTTTCTCTAGGGCAATGAGAGGGTGCAGCCTTGTGCAGCTGTTTTCCCAGGGTTGGGTACCTCAAAGCATTATTTTCCTTGGCTGCAACTCCATCTGCAGACAGAGGCCACAACTGAGATGCAACTATGAGATGATAATCCTACCATGGCATGGGATGCAGCATGCATGTTTTTCTCGTTTTTGAAACCTCTTTATATCCTGCATCAGTTTACAACAATACTTACTAAGCTTTTTCTTCTAGTTGTTTTTAAAGAAAATGTGGGAGTATTGACAGGATATCACATGAGAATGCATTGCTTTCTATAAATCCAAGTCCATGGATATATATATATCTTCGCTTGAAGATGGAACGGAGCCCATTTTACTTTCAACTCAATTTAATTTAAAGTATTATATTGAAGTTTTCGGCTCTTGTTTTGAAACATGAGACCTCTTATGTAGCAATTTGGAATCATATTTTTAAATAAATAATTATATTTATGCTCTACTTTTGTATCGAGCACTATTTTTTAAAAATAATAACTAAAATACTAAGGGACTTTGGATTATTTACCTAACCAGTTCCTTCCTATTTTCACATATATATATATATATATATATATATATATATGAAATATAGAAACTTGAATTTAATTTGGGCTTCATTTACTTAAGTCATTCCAAAAATTCTTTATGGTTATTCAAATAAATTTTGTTGATGCAAAATTTTACGCATATTCACGGTGAAGGCAAACAACATATCATAAACAAACTCACTCAATAGACTCTCTACCAATTTAGATTTGTCCCAGAAGTGTTTATATTTACTTATTACCTTCTTTCTGATTGGTTGCCAAAATACATCAAAGATGCAGAACTGATTCTCAAGATATTCAAAAATGGATGCTTTACAAATAAACTCATTTAGTAATGAATAATTTTTCAAGAAGTGATGATTATTTTTTCATATTGACTTGGAGATTTAAAAACAAATATGAGTTTGTCATCATCAAATAACCAAAGATTTTTCATGTTCAAAAATTAAAGATCTGTAGAAAAAATGGATTCATATGTTAACCTGCAACAAGCTTCATTAGATCTAAGGTAAATAATCTGATACATTACCATCAATCTCTTCTATGGGTTGTAAGAAATATATAAACTTAAAAAAAAAAAAATACTGTAAATGTATTGTGTGGTGGGAATACAACTTTGAAAACTGCAAAAGCAGAGGTAAAAGAACAATCAAAATAGAAATTGGAAACATTGTCAAGATATGAACACTAAAAATCTAGTTTCAAATATATCACACAAGATGGAAGTAGAAAGAGTAATAAGGAAGAAAATACAATTTTTATTGAGGGATGTAGATATACATTAAATGGATGAGACGTTAAGTCCTTCATGACAATGGAATTAGTCAACCAAAATGACTGAGAAGACAATGGTTTTGAGCTCAAGGAATGTTTTTGGCTTTTATTATAGACATTAAAATTATAGGTCTCTTCAAAATTGATGATAGTTTTAAAATAAATGCAAAGAATTATTGTACGTCCTTGGGTAATAAGTTTTTGTGTGATACAGGTTACAATTAAGAAACTTTAATTTAAACAGCATATTCATGGGTAATAAGTTTTTGTGTGATACAGGTTACAATTAAGAAACTTTAATCTAAACAGTATATTCATGGGTAATAAGTTTTTGTGTGATACAGGTTACAATTAAGAAACTTTAATCTAAACAGTATATTCATACATGACAGTAAATCTTCACATTCTACAAAAATTGAATATTACATATGTTAACCAAAATGTTTTCAAAGGCAACAAATTAATGATATTAATGCAAGAGAAGTTATAAGACTATAATAATAAGAATAATGTGGATATAAGAATTAACACTGCATAGTGACTGTCATTTTCACACATCAATATGATGTTCAGATCATATATATCACACAAGATATTGTAGAAAGAGTAATAAGAAAGAAAATAGAAATAGGGTTGCAGCTTTTTCCTGCAAACCATTATCCTGTGGAACTGACTCCCAACAAGTTGTTTCCCTGATAACTACAATCTTAACCCCTTCAAGGCTAATCTTAACCATTATCTTCCACTCCTATACATATAAATAGCCTCCAAACATGACACTCTATCTTGAGTGGTCCCCAGGCCTTGTAAAAAGTGAACCTCACTGTGAAAAATTAATTCATCATAGTATAAATAAATATATATAATAGTTATTGAAAGTTTATAATTAAAGATTATCTTTTTAGATTGACACTTGGAGATTTAAAAAAAAAATATGAGGTTGTCATCATCTAATAAGCAAAGATTTTTCATGTTCAAAAATCAAAGATCTGTAGAAAAAATGGATTCATATGTTAACCTGCAACAAAAATGTCTCAGCTTCATTAGTTCTAAAGTAAATAATCCAATACATTACCATCGGTCTCCGTTCTTTACAAAGATAATTTGAATGAAATAAGTAATTTACACTTACCACTAACATTTGAATATTGGAGGTGTGGGATACTCTTAAATCTCATTCCTGGCAGGTAAGCATTCTCATTCTTATAAAAATTGTACAAGATTATTGCTAATTTTCTGAGAAGGTCTGCATTGATTGTTGTGGTAAATTCAACTCGATGAAACACAACATTGGATGAGATCCTGGAAAGATAAATAAAACATTAGGCAAGTGAGAAGACTTATTTTTCAGCTACAGAAAATTTTTGAATATTTATATCATCCTGTTTCACTATGTAAATGTTTGTATGCAGTTACATTTATTTTCAGAGATGATAATGTAAAAAGATGATTAGTGAATTGATCCTTAAGTGCATACACTCTATCAGATTTTATTATTGTTGTAGCATATATACAAATGATAATGGGTATGTCCCCATTCACATAAATACGGTAGTAATTAAAACTTTCATTGGTTGAGATTTTCTTTTGTGATACAGAAAAGAAATCACATAATGTAATTTTTTATTCCATTCATTTCAATGAATGTTTGCACATCTATTTCATCAACAAACAATACTAACTGAACATCTTCAACTCCTGCTAAACCTCTCAAAGTGTTGTTGCGGTAGAATTTGGTTAGCTGCAAAATAAAAAAGAAAACTTAGAGAAATGAATTGGATGAAAAAGATCATTATTAATCACTATTGCTAATTGGACTAATGATAGTCAATTGATATTATATTGAAATTTTATAACATGTCAGAATTCATATTTTGATGGTTAAATGAATTGTTATTGCATAGCACAAAGTTTCCAATTATGTGAGTGTATGAACTACAGAATGGTCTGAAAGACTTGTCATGGCATAGGTTCTTCCAACCTCTAGGGGGTGATAAGACTTTCAGACCATCCTGTATATTATCATTATACAGTAGAATTCCTGACAACTGGATATAGGCACTCTAGATATGAGGGATTCTACTATAGTTAAATGAATGGTTATTGCATAGCACAAAGTTTCCAATTATGTGAGTGTATGAACTACAGAATGGTCTGAAAGACTTGTCATGGCATAGGTTCTTCCAACCTCTAGGGGGTGATAAGACTTTCAGACCATCCTGTATATTATCATTATACAGTAGAATTCCTGACAACTGGATATAGGCACTCCAGATATGAGGGATTCTACTATAGTTAAATGAATGGTTATTGCATAGCACAAAGTTTCCAATTATGCCAAAGCAAATGATTTAATTATTAGTTGGTTAATGAACAATGTAGACATCACTGGAAATAGTCTTCTCGTTTAAAGATTTCAAAGACTTACATATAATTACAATCTAACAAAATATCTGAGAAAACATTTTGTGCCTCAAGAAATGTCATTATGTGTTTTTGGTATATTTGAAAGCATTTAATATTCTAAGTGAATATTCGAACATTGTAATGCATGTAAATTTGTCATTATTTGTTATTATGTTAGATAGTTTTTCATTGTGTGTGCATCAAATTAAAACTTGTGTTTCTTTACTGGTATGCTCCCCCTGGTTGACAGTGAAAGAAACAGGTGAATTTATAATTGGATAATTGACACACTCATAATTACCTTACTGGCTCATGTATTATCGGTAGAGATTTAATATACTTATGATTAAACTCAAAGAAAAAATTCAACTATTAAAAGAATTTTCCTGTAACATCTGTTTTATTATTGATAAAATAAATAGATACAAAACATAAATATAATGAAAGACAACATCAAATGAAATAGATATCATTGTTATTGATTTTAGGTATATATTTAAAGTACTAATTATATTCTTATCTTAACCTCTTCATGCATGAAGAATAATAAACTGTATTGTTTTTTATCCGATTGTGAATACAAACCTTTGACAACTACTTGAGTGAAGTATGAGGTCACACATTTAGAATTCAGTGAACTATAAAATATACATATTATATATATATATATATATATATATATATATATATATATATATATATATATATATATATATATATATATATATATATATATATATATATATATATATATATATATATATATATATATATATATATATATATATATATTTAGTCAACAATTTTCATTCATACATGTTTCATTAAATTAAATATATATAGACAAGTTTTGTCCATTTATTTTAAGTAAGTTCCTTTCATATTGTCTGATAAGTTTAATAACATTATCATTGAAAGATGAAAGGAAATCACCATATTGATGCATGTTTAAATCCAATCTAAGCTTTCGGCTTACATAAGCCATTATCTAAGATGACAATTATATCTCAATATATCAAACAACACACGGACGAAACAATAATGATAGTCTGTTTTCGTTGCATGAAAAATTTCAAAGCAATGACAAACTCTTGTATACGAGACGCGGAAGCGAAAATCGCGTCACAGCTCGTACGTCACACATGACCACGCGAGAGTGAAAACGAGAAGTATTAAGTAGAGGAAGCCGTTGGTATAAACCAATGGCTTCTGTTATCAATTATAGGCATTTAAGAGCTGTGACGCGATTTTCGCTTCCGCCTCTCGTATACAAGAGTTTGTCATTGCTTGGAAATTTATACACAATAAAATCCAAAATTAACTCATATGGGGGTATAAGTTCATTTCGACTGTCGAAAATTATAAATTAATTGATTTAAAATATGTTTTTTTTGCTACACAGTTCTAACCATGTTTCAAAAATGGAAGCTGAAAGCTCCGAATTTAATTTTGTAATTAAATCAAAGACATTAGTTCCATTTCATCCTCAAGCGAATTTTGGAGTAACTTTTAAAATTACTGGGTTTTAAAGACACAGAAAAAATACTGTTCTTTCTTTTTATTTATATATACATACATACATACATACATACATACATATATACATATATATATATATATATATATATATATATATATATATAAAAAGAAATATGTTGTAGTGGTTCCAACGAGAGAAAAGTATGTATATTAAAAAGAAGAGGGGTGCCGCAAACGTTTTTGGTTGTAATGTGGATTTATTGAGAAAAAATATTATACTTTGTTTTACATAATTTCACGACACGTGTTTCTGGTCTGGTCTCGCAACCGTCTTCAGGTGAAAGTGGAGATTTTTACATATTATTAAAAATAATTAATTTTTCTTCATGTTCAATGTGGAATATTCTCGATATGAGACATTCTGTTTGTGTGTTGGCAATCCGAATTTTCTTTCTAGAATTGTCAATGAAGAGTTCTGCGTGAAGGGTCATAAAACAATTAAAGGTTTGTCCAGCGAGTAGTTATCGGCATTTAATCTTTTAATGTTTTAGTGACCTCTATGTGCTCTTGGATCTGTTTCTATTTTGGCGTGTTCCTGTCAGCATGCGTGTATATATGCGTGCGTATATTTCCTTACTACGAGGAATTCGTAAACTTATTTGTACTTATACACGCATACACACACATACGCACATACACACTATCCCACCACAAGTAGTCAGTACACACACATATACACACATATATTTCCCAAGATACATGGAACCAGTACACACACACACACACACACACACACACACACACACACACACACACGCACACACACACACACACACGTACTTCTTAAGTTGTCAACATCCGCATATACATACATAAATGTATGTATGTGTACATACACATATATATATCTCCTCGTGTCTCCCGTATATGAGTGTGCGTCCATGTATGTGAGCGATCATTGTATTTGGTCACCCTGTGTGCATGTTTTTTTTTTTTTTTTTTTTTTGTGGGGGGTTTACGATCTATTCAGTTCGGGTTTGAATTTGTCTATAAAGTTTTTTCCTGTATTTGTAGATACGAGTAATTGTCTGTTTGATATATCGGCATGATATTAAACTTACCCTGGTTACATTTGAAAATGTGTTTGTGATACAAAAAGTTTTCTGTTGTCTGTCAATTTTATATTGCTTTTTTGTGTAGGGAGACCCTGTTGTTCAGTTGTTGGCTGATGCCTATATATGACTTCTTACATTTTGTGCATTTAAGTGCATAAACTACATTTTTGGAGTTGCAGTTTAAGTTTTTGTTTATTGTGAATGTTTTTTTGGGTTTTCAAAAGTGTAGGAGTTTCCTTCTATAATGATGTCACAAACTCCACATCTTTTTTTGTTGCATTTTGTGACTCCTGTATTTTTGTGTTGACTAAATTTAGATGAGGTTAATATGTGTTTTAGGTTTCTAGATTGGCGTTTGCTCTTAATTATTTTGGTTGTTTTAGTATATTATTCAGTTTATTATTCTTGCTAAGTAAATCTAGATTTTTTGTGATTTCTGGGAATATTTCTGGGTTGTTTTTTGTTGTACGTTGAGACATATGCTAGAGTTTGTTCGACGTTACGTTTCTTTTTATTTCTAAGTTGGTCTAGAGGAATTTCTTTCGCATGAGTTCAATACCTTTGTTTATTAGTGTTGTGGGGTAGCCTCGTTTCTTGAGAGTTTTATGTAGTTCTTCTAAGATTTTTTTCGGAGATGTTTATCAGTCACTATTGTACAAATTCTACGTGCTAGGGAATAGGGGATGGATTTTAGGCAGCTTTTTTGGGTGATGGCTCTTGAAATGAACGTATTATTTGGGTGTCTGTGGGTTTGTGGTAGATATCTGTGATTATGTGGTTGTTTTATTTCTAATGAGTATATCTAAATGGGGAAATATGTGTATATGTGTGTGTGTACTGACTACTTGTGGTGGGATAGTGTGTATGTGCGTATGTGTGTGTATGTGTATAAGTACAAATAAGTTTACGAATTCCTCGTAGTAAGGAAATATACGCACGCATATATACACGCATGCTGACAGGAACACGCCAAAATAGAAACAGATCCAAGAGCACATAGAGGTCACTAAAACATTAAAAGATTAAATGCCGATAACTACTCGCTGGACAAACCTTAATTGTTTTATGACCCTTCACGCAGAACTCTTCATTGACAATTCTAGAAAGAAAATTCGGATTGCCAACACACAAACAGAATGTCTCATATCGAGAATATTCCACATTGAACATGAAGAAAATTAATTATTTTTAATAATATGTAAAAATCTCCACTTTCACCTGAAGACGGTTGCGAGACCAGACCAGAAACACGTGTCGTGAAATTATGTAAAACAAAGTATAATATTTTTTCTCAATAAATCCACATTACAACCAAAAACGTTTGCGGCACCCCTCTTCTTTTTAATATATATATATATATATATATATATTCATTTTACAAAAAAACTAATGTCTAGAATATTCTGAAGCAATGCTAATGATATTAACTAAATAAGAAAAAAACATTAAGAAACTTACCAAATCTCTAAGGAAAACTTTAAATTTGACCTTATCTACAATGTTTTCAAATTCCATCCGAATTAGTACATTTTCTGTGAAGTAGACAAATAAATAAATAAGAAATAAGATGAACAGAAATACATAAATCGAAAATTATACAGTTGTCAGCATTGTTCACATATAAACCAATAAATTGTTCTTGAAATGATTGTCTTACCGAAAATCGAATTTGTCGTACTATCAAGCTGGTAAAATGTGTTGGAAGTAGAAGGTGTTAAAGTGGGGTAATTTTCGTACGTTTCCCTGTAAAATAAAATAGCAAATAAAAGTACTCTGAAAATATGTGCCCGTATGCAGAATAATGAAGCATTGTTGAAATATTAATTTTAATGAAAAAATATTTCGTCCAACTTTTTACATTGTCAAAACTAAAACATAAATTGCTATACTCTCAACCATTGACAAAAGCAATAATGTTAGTAATAAGAAATAAATTATACCTATTCACAAATTCTTTACTTGTGCTTGACGTGATAGCAAGATCTGGAGATGTTGTGGTCGAAGACTGAATAGGATTTTCCTGGAAAAAAAAAAAATATTGATATAAAACATACAATCTTGATTTAAATACAACGAAAAATTCCTTACTGGCGTACAACAAATTTAGACGAGAAAAACAAGTCACTTTCCCAAATGATACTAGAATACATTTCTTTAGAAAATCTCCAGTCCTTATTTTTGGTCAACGGGGTAAATAAAACTGCCGAAATCTAAACCCCGTTTTATAACAAATGATTTTGGGTCTTAATATAATGTAAAATTAGGAAAAATTCCTGTTGAGAAACTTTTTTTTTAACTTGCCTACAAACATCTCCTCCATCTAAGCAGACACTCATCGGTTTTTGCACAATGTTGGAAAAACTTAAAAGTATTTTTTATTCATTTTTTTTATTGTTGCTGTTATCAGTCAAGTATTGTGCATAATTTATAAGATTTAGGAAAAAATTTGAAGCTACAAAAATGGATTTTGAATTTACAGAAACGAAAACTGACCACCGTTTAAAAACATCTTCCGAGTTCTTGCTCAGTATAGTAAAACAGAAGAAAGTGATTTTAGACGAGAGAGCCACAGTGATAAAAAGGAATTTATTACGAGTATATAAATCCAGGACAGCCTTAACCGGAAAGTAATCTTCTGCTATGTTTTATCTTTACAAGAGCCAGACCTGACCAGACTAAAAGTGGGGTATTGCTGGCATATCTGGGCTGTAACTATCCAGTCTTCGCTGGCCAGTCTTGATAGAGTTTAAAAGCGTTAGTGATAATATTATTTCCGTTCTACAACCCTGTTACACATAGACAAAACGTCGCAAGTTTCTCGCTACTCTATCGCTATTTCCATGGCAAATGTTCTGACGAGGTACATTTCTTAGTTCCACCAATTCTGACCTTTGCAGCTAAAGTCAAAACAGTAATATCAGCACCCCCGCCAAAAAAAAAAAAACCATTAATATCAGCAAAAACAACAGTAATATCAGCAAAAACAAACCCCATCTGACATGTTTAGAGACAGAATGCAAACATTATGGAAACGGATTTGTTGTCAACAGTAAATGGAAGAATAATGTGTGTCCGTGTGTCTGAAATACAGCTCACTGTTCAAGAAAAAACATACGAATGTCAACAAGCAGAATGGATCCAGACTTCCCAGCTAAAAAAAAAAACATGGAGTTTTACTTCGAAAAGACTGTCTTTAAAAAGTTCAGCGGTCATCCAAGAACTATCATAATCACAACGCTGAACCAAGACATTCAAAGAAAAAGGCAGAAAGATTATAATGGGTTATCAGTTATAGTGAAGTGTATGAGTGTTGAAACAGATTATTTTTATTTGGCCTTAGTTAGATAGCCCACCATAAGAGGGGTATAAAACAAGAAAATCAAATTGTAAAGTGAAACAACAAATTTATATACATATAAATCAATTAAGGCCTCTTCATATAAAATTAATGTATGTTGGTTGATACAAGGTCGTCAAAATGTTCGTAGTAGTCCTTGCAAGAATGAGTTTATGTGTACGTAGCCAGAAACCTATGTATGTATGTATGAGCGTATTCGTAGGGTAGAAATGTCTATGAAGTAATCGCTCAGTCTTAAAATATTCCGTTCGTTTATCAAGTATAAAAGAGGTGAGGGAGAAAGGTAGAGATAATAATAACGATCGCTTGATGTGTTAATACGCTCGTCTCCTTCTCTCTGGTGACAGGCGAACTTGCCCGTCTTTTATTTTGTTTGTGGGGCTTGAAAAGGTCATTTGGAAATTCACTCTCGGATATGATTCGAGCCTTTCCATTGGACGACGAGCAAACTTCGCGTCGGCTTGCGAAAAGGTCTGTAAAAGAATTTGTTTCTGAGAATTGAAGATTATTTGAATTTTGTTTTTAAATGTTTCCTAGTTTTCTATTGGCCGAAAAACATTTCGCATCAAGGTGTGAAAATTCATGAGTTTTGTTTTGGATTCGCTTTTGTGTGTGTGTTAAGCAAAGTTTGTAAATTCGAGTCTTTTTAATTTCTAACAAAATCAATGAGTCAGTGCTTAGCATTTGAATTTTAAATCTAGATCTTGTTTTGTTCACTACAAGATCCCACTTTTCCTTTGGAGAAGTTTACAATCAAGGAAGCTCTGCAACGAATCCGCAAACTCGCAGAGGACATAGAAGGCTGGCAAAATATTATCGAATCAGTATATAATGTCACTGAAGATGAGAGAACATGTTAATTCATAACTTCAAATCGAAAGTTTTGATGATGATGATGTTCGTGAATTTATTTCAATCCCTGCACCAGGGCTGTTTGTACAAGGTAAGAAATAACTGTATAGTACTAAGAATAAGAACTAGACAAGATATCTTTAGTCAAGGGTAGTATAACGATTCTACACACGTAGATTAAATAAAGGAACTCCCTGTAGGTTACCCAGATTGATATACATCTAATGAAGACTGAAGGTGATAACAACAAAAAATTAAAATAATCCGCATGTAAATAGTGAAAAATGCATTTAATTTCCACATTTTGTATTTAAAGCGAAGATAGATTTCCAGTGAACTTAGATTACATCAGAATTAGAATTTTTACTTTACCTGCATAATTTTTGGTTGTTTTTTTCAAAGCAGTCTGAAGCCGGGCAAGGACATCCAACCATCACTGGAAAAAAAAATCATTGCATCCTATTAAAATGATTATTATTGACCACCAACTTTGCATAAAGTTACTAGAACAATATTTCTGTCGACGATTTTTGTGAAAGCCATTTCAAAATATATTTTTTATGTAAAAATATGACGAGGGATTTCGAACAAATCAGCTGTGAAATAAGTCTAAAAAATTAAGGAATTCTGTTCACGACAGAATGTGTAAAAATTGAAAAGAAAATTGTAACGTTTAGAATAGACCTTCTTCAATTTTCATCATGCTGAAAATTATCTCTATCCTACATTCTCTTATTAGAATCCTTATTTAAAATAACTTCCTATATTTAAATTTCAAAGGTGAAATCTGTAAGCCCAAAAGGAAATTAATAAAACGTTTACGATGTTTAACGAATAACAAAAAAAAATCATGATGTTTATAGATTGCCATAAAACTGAAATATATTTCATTTGAAGAAGACTGTCCTGCTATTTGCGAACTTGGAAAATGAAAAGTGTTGATTTTTGAATGCGATGGTCCATAATTAAACGTAAAACAAATTACCTTTTACTTGCATTATTTACATTATTCGGACAGTTATCACCATCTTCATTGCCAATATTCACAACGTTTCGGCCGTTGTACGCTCCGGCCTTCTTCAGGTGATTGGAATTTCATACCGAACCCTTTATTTTGTCTATCGGGGTAGATTGTTCTCAAGGACACATGGATCAATGGATAAAGACGTTGGTTAGATCCAATGACTAGACCCAAAGAGTTCTGAGTTCAATACCAGGCCACAACAGTGGTGAACGAAAACTTGGAGGGGGAAATAACTGAGACATCCGGAAGAGGCAAGGCACGTGGAACTAGAACAATCTACCCCGGTGGACAAAATAAAGTGTTCGGTTTGAAATTCCAATCACCTGAAGAAGGCGGGAGCGTACAGCAGTTGAAACGTTGTGAATATTGGCAATGAAGATTAGGATAACAGCCCGGATAATGCAAATAATGCAAGTAATCATAATACCTCATCTCAGGGATATAGACAGAAATTACCTTTTACGTTATTATTGTTGATGTATGTTGGCCCGCTGCTCAGCAAATAAGTATTGTTTCCCGTCTCAAGTTTTCCTTCTTTATAAATTGCCTCCAATTTTTTTCGAAGATTTTCAAAGTGATGGTCTCCAATTTCAGAGCGAAAAAATAGATGCTGCTGCATTAAGGTATTTCCTTCGACACTGAAAAGTAAACATTTATAATTAGATAAACGAAGTATATTCTATTTCAAAATTTATACATAAACTTTAACCAGTCATAATATAAAATTGCAGCGAAACGAAATATTTAATGGCCGTCAAACAAAACATTACACAATGAAAATCTTACTACATGCATCTCTCTCTGTTTCTTGAACACACGAACATATAATAAGCACTATTTTTATTCTTTAGAGTTTTACTTTTTTTATATATTGATCGTAATATTTGCAATAAACTTTAAAAAATATATATAAAAAATAAATATTTCCCCCAAATAACATATAATAATGTGTAATTTGCTTTTTAAACCCCGCGCTAAATATATAATAAAAATTTACCGAATAGCTATATTTAGGTGTAAATTTACATGCTTAATTCGAAAATAAAGAAATTTTGCTAAAATCTACCGTTTTGGAGATATCGACAATAAAAGTTCGAACTTAGTCGCGTTACGGCACGGCAGCCATTACTGGCGTTGTTTGCATACATTCGCTGCTGATTAGATTTGCGCGGAAGATTATATTGTTCTTACTTGACTGAATTACTGCGCAACTAAGGACTCATTGCGTGCGCAATAAAAATGTTATTCCGCAGCAAATATCTGCAAACAACGCCATTAATGGCTTCCGCGACGCGAGTGAGTCCGAACTTCTATTGCCTATAATTCTAAAACGGTAGATTTTATCAAAATTTCTTTGTTATTTTCGAATTAAACATATACATTTACATCTAAATATATATATTCGGCAAATTTTTATTACATATTTAGCGCGGGGCTTTAAAAGCAAATTACCCATAATATTATTTTCATTTTGTAAACTTACCTTATCTTGAAGTCGTTAATAGTTAGAGATGCAAAATCTGTCATATTTTTATACAATATTTCGAGCTGAAAATAATATGAATACATAGATATTCAATTTGTTTCGGTCAATTCAAATTCATCGTCTTTAATTCAAATTTCAATAAACTTTTATATTACAGTACGAACACGCAAATGTTTGCACTGGAATACAAAAGTGAGATTGTTATAAAGGGTGTTCCAATAACTTGGACTGATTTTAAATGTGAATTAAGTTTAAACGTCTAATGATTTTTTTCTTTTTCTTTCAGATTTAACAACTTAAGTCTTTGGCAATGTCAACCATGGAAGGATTAATAATCAAACAAACGTGTTAAAGTTATCGAAGCCTATTACGAAAATGGACGTTCAAACAGAAATGCATTTCGCGCTCTTCGCGATATTTTGGGTCAACATAATCAACCAACCTAGTGTAACGATGTAACGTTGTTGTGGAGAGGTTCAGTTCCTGCGTGCTATGGCGAATAGAAGGATCTGGATTTTTGGCCACATTCACCTGCACTGCGGCAATGTTTCAGCTGAACGGCGTAAACTAGCACGCAATGGTGTTTTCACAACTGCCACCGATCCAGTTTGTTTGAATTTACGAACAATTTTTTTCAATTGCACTTTTGAAACTTTAACACGTTGTTTGATTGTTAATTTTTAATGCAATTCGAGCGCATATTGATGAGCACACCGCAAACAAACAAACAAAATTACTATTAACATAACACAAGTTTTAATAGATAACACCAAAATGTTATACAGGACTCATTCAAAAGATAATATCATTTTAAACATGATATTCATCCTTCTGTAGGACCACATTTGCTGTTGTTTGAAGTCCCCTCTACACCTTTGAGAAGATTGCCCAGCACTCACTGCCATACATGGAGGATAAATATCACAAAGTAGTTTACTACTTTTCCTTGTATCTCAAAAATCTACCCTATGTTAAAATAATGTTGTTTATGGATTCCCACGTTCTTTGGTAGATTGTATTTCCAATAATAATAATAATAATAATAATAATAATAATAATAATAATCAACAAGCAACATTGAAGTTTTACATAGGACACATACGCCATACTCTCTCGTATCGAGCAGCACACCACAAACAACCAAAATACTATTGACATAACACAAATTTTAATAGATAACACCAAAATATTATACAGGACTCATTACAAAGAAAAAAAATCAAAATTCTTGAAGTTATTATAGCAAAAAAAAAAAGAAACAAATATCATTAAATATAATATCTTTTTCCGTAGCAGATATTGGAGTGTGTATAACAAAGAAAGAAAGAGAGCACGTAAAGGTATTCAGTATTTGGTTTTCCATTTAACCGTTAAAAATTACGTCAATGTGAACTGATTGCAACTTGAATAAGATAGTATCTTCCCATTTTGTCATTCAATTACTCACTGGTGTTATATGCCACACACACACTCACACAAACACACATATATATAATAAATGGTGCTGTATATATAATATTATAAAGAAGTAATGATACATAGAATCAGTAAAGTTAATGTAATCAGTAGCGAAATAACTTCGCTAACAGCCTGAGGATGAAAACGTGAATGTTTTCGAAAGTACAAGCAACGGAATATCTAATCCCTCTTACAAATTAAAGTATAAGGATCGCATCATTCAACGAGTAGTTAGTAAGCTAATGCTTTATTAAATCTGTTAGTGAAATGATTTCACCATTAATTACATTAACTTTACTGAATAATTATATATATATATATATATATATATATATATATATATATATATATATATATATATATAGTTAGTTAGTTTTGGGTACTCGCATCGGGTTTTTTTCTTTGGGCCTTGAACTCGTATGCTGGACGATTATTTTCGGTTAACGTACATGTTCTTGGTTCTTTTTTTATCCTTTTTTCCCTTTGGTATTGGCTTGTTTATTTGCAAATCAATACACCGAAGGTCTTTCGAGCGAGTATAGTTTTTATACTTATAAGATTTCTATTAATAATATATATATATATATATATATATATATATATATATATATATATATATATATATATATATATATATATATGGCGTACAGGGGTGTATCAGTAATTCAGCAGCCTGACAACTTGTTAACTGGATCTTTATTTAATATTCTCACTTGATAATTTTTATTCTATGCGATTAATAATGATCACTGCATTAGAAGGAAGAGTGAATATCTTGCGTAAAATAAATGCGTTTTTCATTGTGAGGCTGCTTACTCACTGATGTACCAACTTATGTGTGAAAATGTGCGTACATTCGAGTAAGAATAAAAAAAAAAGGTTTCAACAAACCTGTTGTTTCAATCCATTTTTGTCGGTTACATTACCGTGCAATTGCATTATCACTTTTATGTATGCTAAAAAGAAATGGGAAAATAGAGTGATAATGAAATGGTGCCCTCTTCAGTCCCGGGTTTCGACATCTGAAGACAGTTAGAAATTAAAAAGAAAACGAACAGGAGAAATGGAAATAAATACCTAACTAGAAAATCTTTAGAACAGCAAAGAGGAAGGGGCGCTATAAATATCTGGGTATTTTGATAGCAGATAATATCCAAAAGAAACATATGAAGAAGAAAATAGGAAATGAATACCGCAGAAAACAAGAAAAATATTAACGTTCAAACTATTAGATGTCAAACATAGATGAATGAATTTGATTAAATGGGCAGTTCCTACTGCAAAGTATTGAATTTCAGGACAAGAAAATAGTTGAATGAATTTGATAAAATGAGCAGTTCCTACTGCAAAGTATTGAATTTCAGGACAAGAATACAGTTCTACACCTGAAAGACGATATTGAAGGATTATATATTAACCCTTTGAGCCCTGACCACCGCTTTACCGGTAGTAGAGAAAAATGACGTTATGCCCAGCCACCGGTTGAACAGTGGTAGAGAAAAATGACTTAATGCTCTGAGCGTACTAAATTACAAAAACATGGCTGCGAAGTTTTTTGTAAAACTAAGAAAATATAAAGACCAGATGTAAATAGAAAAAATGTGGCACTTAAAAACTAAAACTGCTTCTGTTTTAGTTGCAGTTTTGTGTTTGATAAAGAAAGCAACCTAAGCACAAATCAACAAAATCCCTAGGAAATCCCCACCTAAAAAAGACATTCTAAAAAGCATATCTTGCGAAGAACGTTGCCCATTTATGTTTTTTGTTTAATAGATGTCTTTTGTTTAATCAAGTGGAACCAACAAAAAAATAACACTTTTCGCTTGACCTCGGTCAAAGGTTATGACCCGGCATGTGATTATAAATCAAATGCAGGCCAAAAAGATGTTTTTTAAAAACATGATAATAATAGCAGCAGCAGCAGAAGAAGAAGAATCACAACCTCCCCAAATATCGGATTCATCTTTTCAGTTTAGAAATAGAACACAATTAATAGTTTTATAAAAGCGGGGAAAAAAAAGGAAAATATTATTCATAATTTTAAAACGTTTTTAACATCCATAGATTTATTAGTTTTAATGTCAAAAATCCATTAAGTCAAATTTTCAATCGTTTCATGAAAGATGATGTCCAGTTAATTGTCATGATAAAACAAATGAAGAAAGAAATTTTCTAAATTAATAATAATAATAATAATGAACATACACAGCGTATATCCTGCGAAGAGAATTGTCCATTTATTTATTTTTTTGTTAATAGCTGTCTTTCGTTTAATTAAGTGGGGACAACAAAAATCACATACTTCGCTTGACCTAGATCAAAGGTCATGATATCAACCTGACATGTGATTATAAAACAAATCAAGAAAAAATTATTTTCTAAAATAATAATAATTATAATCAATAATATAATAATAATAATAATAATAATAACCAGATCCGGTTACGCTGGTATGAACCCCACCCAGACCCGGTTACGGAGACAGGACCTGTTACAATTCTATGGGACTACACAATACATTCTGACAGAACAATCAAAGCCAACCGCCCAGACATTGTTATTAAAGATCACAAACAAAAAAAGTGCTTCCTTATTGATATGACAGTCCCTGCAGACTGCAATGTATCTTTGAAGATATTCAAAAAGCTGTCGAAATACAAGGACCTTGAAATAGAAATCTCAAAAATGTGGCACATGAAAACATCAACAATCCCTGTTGTAGCTCTAGGATTGGTTGGAAAAGATTCCAGTAGACTAATTAAAAGGATTTCTGGAAGCCCATTCCTCAAAGAACTACAAAAAAAAATTGTTCTGACAAGTACAGCCCACACTTTACGAAGGGCTTTATCTATGTAAAAATATATTTTTTTTCTGTCAGTGGAAAGTGTCATGATGTCATTTCTAACCTTAGGTCTCTGGGCGGGACTCGGAAAGAAACGTGTAAACGCCAGAAATCAAAGGAAATAATAATAATAATAGTAATAATAATCTATGCCTCAAAGAGATACTAAAAATTGTTCTCACAAGTACAGCCCACACTTTACGAAGGGCTTTATCTATGTACATTTTTTTTTGTCAGTGGAAAATGTCATGATGCCATTTCTAACCTTAGGTCTCTGGGCGGGACACGGGAAGAAATGTGTAAACGTCAGAAATCAAAGAAAATAAAAATAATAATACTCTGATAAATGATTCTTGATTCTAATCTTAATTGATTGGAGTTGTTAACAAGCACATATTTTGCTATAGAGAATTAAAAGTTCTGCAGTAAATATCTCATTCAGTATCACAGAATGGTTGTGGCATGTTTACTGCAACTTTATTTGACTACATATTATGTAAATGGTACAAAGAGATTTTTTGATTTCTTAAGGGATCCAATGATTTAACTAGAGGGAGTTTAATCAATGTAGTTCGTGGGAGTGTAGAAATAATGAAAATGTTAAAAATAATAAAATGCTAGATAATGTTTAAGCACAAACACATTGATAAATAGTACTACTAATAATAATGGTAATAATTTGATTACTTTCATTGTTGTTCAAATTTATAGAAGAATGGACCTTTATTATTCATTTTAAAATCTTTACGTCTTATGTTGATTGCTATTTTACTTCCCATAAGAATTATAAGAAAGAATATAATGGATTTGATATTACCATTTATACATGATTTGTAATCTTTCGCAAGTATGAAACCGCTATAACAGAAGCAGTTGTATGAACCTTCCTGATTTTGGCAAATATGACTGCAGCCATGCGTTGAAGATTTGCATTCGTCGATATCTGTGGAAAAAGACATCAAATTATTTAAAATTATTAACGAATAGTTGCATTTGTAGAAATTTCACATATAATTAATACTGGTATCTACACCCTTGTGCAAATTAATTGAAACAACTGCTTTCATTTCCGTTCTTTCGCCATACGGTCAGTTTTAGACCCACTGGAGTGACAGGGCGCAATCGATTTCTATTTTTTCATCAGATTATGTCATTTGCAGTGGTGTGAATATTCATGATATAAGATATGAATCTTATGATATATTCATAGATATGAATCTATTTTCGGGTTGTATGATGAAATTTGTTTGGCCTTGAAAAATATTGCGTCATCCGTGACCGCAACAGATTTTTATCACGCCCAAACACTATTGGCTCAACTGTTGATTAGTTGTCCTATGGCTATTGTCTGCGACGGACGCTACTCCAAGGAAGCGTACGAAAATTGTCACACTACACGAACACAATGGTAATCCTTACCAGTGAGCAAATCAAAGTACTATCGACTGGCTCGGAAACTCTCCTGATTTAAATCCAATCGAGAATCTGTGGTCAGTCTGCAAGGGACAACTTCGTGAAATGAGCATACGAAGTACTAACATGTACACTGGGTCATGTGCCATTGGAAAAATACGAAAGAATGTAAGTAATAACGGAATTATTCGTTGTGTTTCAATTAATTTGCCCAAAGGTGTATTGCAATATATTGTTTTATTTCGCGTTTGGAGAATAATTTAGTAAAGAGAGAAAATAAATTATCTGGCTAAAATTATATCTGGATATAATGTTCTGGTGTTATCTATTCGGTCAAATAATAAATGAGGGCGTTATGAGTAATACACCAGCGTTGTCGGGTTTTGAAACCTTGGGAAGGTTACTGAATAGAATAATAACACAAACGTTGGTAATGAACGATAATACTTAGGACAAGAACAACACATATAAGATTCGACAGCGACGAGTAGAAGAAGTAGTCAACTGCTAAAAGCCAAAAAGTGAGTCAAGTGAATTCCACAATGAATTTCCAACTGTAGGATATCTACCAACCGCCTCACACGGCCAGATACGGCACAAGGCCGAATTTAATGTTGGGTATCCGAGCCCGTAGTCTCGGCCCAAAATTCCCCGTAGACAACGTATAAAACGGGGTCGGATAGCTGTTTCCCGAGACGAAACTCTGCCCTTCGACATAGCCTTGTCTGGGGATGCTTTCTGGCTGGAGATTTTGACCAACACAGCTGGAGACGAATCTCCAACTGCAGGATAGCTACCAACCGCCCCACTTGGTCAGATGTGGTACAAGGCCGAATTTAATGTGGGGTATCCGAGCACGTAAGCTCGGCCAAAAATTATCCGGCATAGACTTGTCTGGGAAGAGAGTTTGACAAACACAGCTTGAGACGAATTTCCGACGGCAGACCAACGTACAGTATTCACTACTGTATTTATGTGAATGGGGATATACCCATTATCGTCCGTAGGTATACTACAACTTCGGGGTAGATAAAGTGCTAAGGGTGCTAATGGTCACAAAACATTGCAAAGTAGTGGCTACCGGTTAATGACAACTTTAGCCGTATAAGCGGACAATATATGCCATGTGAATATATCCTAGCACATTAACGAATGACCACCAACCTACCCAGTGATTCATGGTATTTGCGCCATACTTGAACCTTACTCATTGAATCTTTTGTTCCCATGGAAATTAAGGTACGCTGAACTGACTTACGGAATATTCGTCTGGTACCTTCCGCATTAAATATAGAAATAATTTGAGCCATTTTCACTTGTCAATTACCAAGGAACATACCTCACGTCACAATCCTAAAAGATTTGTGGTCGGCTACTGTGCTATAGACAGTTAGCTGTAATGCTTCCTGTAAACACGTGAAATTGTAGATATTTAATGTCTCTCAAATTTCAGAAATGATATTTCCCATCTTCTGGCAGCGACAATCGTGCCCCGTCGAATTTTGAGAATTCACGCCATCTTCTCAGGCGAAGTCATCTGGTATTCATACTGATTCAACAGATGTCAGAGCACAACTGATATATGTTTGGGCATTTTAGGACCGGATTAAAACCTATAAGGGCCCTAAGCACTTAAAATATTTTCGTGCCTCATACATCTGCGAGTAAAGTATGCTAACGTGGAGACATCAGCCGAGAACATATACCAGCTGGAAAGAAATATAGAAGGAACCGAAGGCACATATGACCATTGAGAGAGGCGAATCATCAGTTTCAACCCAGAACAATGCCAATGCACTGGGGATCACAGCCAGAAAGAATCAATCTCACCCCACTGTCAACAGAACTGTGACTAGAATGGGTCGTGTAATCAACAAACCAGTACGTTACAGAATCAGGTTATGGAATCCTCCATACTTGCCTGTCACCCTCTACGGGAAGATGCACTCTTCCCTAAATTAACCTTTAACCAATCATCACTTCACTTTTCCAAACTCAACTTCCCATTGGTTAAAAGGACACAAAAATGTAGCAAGTTGAGACAAATTCTTTTTTCCCGCGCAGCTGTCTGGAGCCTATTTGAAAATACAAAAATCTATAAAAAAAAAAGGATCGCTCGACTTGATTCAAGTCAGTCAGACATTGAGTTTCGAGAGATGCCAGCAGACTCCACGCGTGCCAACACACTGACTCAATAACACTACCAGCCTCTCATCAGTTCAACACAACTCGCACTATTATTGCCGCGTGAAGAAACTTAACTTACAGTTTACTAAAAAAGTGACATTATCACTACGAAATATTAAATGTACATTTAATCAACTTTAGCATATCAGTCAAAGGCACACAACTCTTCATAACTTGAATCAACACTTACAACTGTCACACACATACACACTATTATTTGAACTCACACAATTGACATTTTACCCTGCAGAAATCAAACTGTTTTAATTTCACAAACAAACTTAAACCATCAACATCCATTCACCAAATCTTTGCATGCACACTCTTTGCAATCTTATCTCACTTGTCACATTTAACAAGCAGCCTATCATCACTTTGTGTATGTTATATATATATATATATATATATATATATATATATGGATAAATGCATAATGTACACGCACATTTTAGGCCTTCATACAATTTCACCTTCTGAATGCCAAACAAACATCAGGGTAGTCTACCCTTGTGATTACTCACAAAAATGAAATCCCATGAAGTTAATTATTAATACTAACTTATTCAAGAGGGTAGATGTGATACATTGAGTAAATACAAACCTGATTATCTCCCTTAGTCCATTCCTTTATTAACCAATCGCAGTAGAGATTTACCGCGGCTTAGTTGTCTCCTCGTTCATAATGGCGCCCGGCACATTCAACTTATTCTATATGTGTACAACAAAATCATAACAATTTCTGTAGTACCTCTATCCTTGATGTCCTAAGAACGTGCTTATTTTGCTTAATGGGTAATCCAGACCTGGGGTGTCGGAGTTAGCTCCTCCTTAATTCCTTAATTATTCACTAGGAGTCGCTCTCCTCACACTATAAATACTGGGCAACTTCTTGCCTCATTCTCTTTTTCATTTCTTCATTTCAGCGAACACATCTACAATGTAAGCTCTCTTAGAAGATAGCGTCTCCCCACTTGTGGGAAGACGCCGTGAACATTAAACACACATACACTTACGTACGAACATTCGCCAAAATACAAACTCTTTATGTTCACACACAAACACAAATGTTGATGTCTTTGTCACTTGTAAATTTGTTGTTTAATACATATATTTGTTGACATATATATATCGGTCTTGTTTGTCTTCTTTACATCTTCGGTTGGACTCGTGTCCCGCATTGTTCTTGTAGTTGGACCTTCTTCTAGCAGGAAATAAACAGCACGTATTCCTAATTCAACAACACTCAAACTCACACGGTCCACTACATGGGCATTTCCATAATGGCAAAGCTTTATCTACATTTTACATAATGCGATCTAATATTTGGTACATCTGTGTATACATTCAATCTTTTAGAATTACCATACAATATACTTACCTTCGCATGTATTTCCAACTTGACGAAATTTGGGTCTACAGTAGCACTGGTAACCACCGTCCGTATCTCTGCACAATTGCGAACAGTTATTTCGTCCGGTTGCGCATTCGTCGACATCTGTATAATGAATAAATGAAGAAATAAAATAACTATCAAATTCAATAATATACTGAATTATACATAATATGTAAAATGGTATATTTCAAATATGAAAATAATATATTTGAAAACTTAACTGCCGGTTTATTATATTTGAATTACAAATCGAAAAACCCAACAGAAATGTGTCTATATTTCTCAGATGAGGTATTATGTCCACTATTTACATTATTCGGACTATTGTCCTCATCTTTGTCGCCATATTTATCACAACGTTTCGGCCGTTCAGTATCTGTCTATATTTCTGAGATGAGGTATTATAAACACTATTTACATTATTCGGACAATTGTCCTCATCTTTGTCGCCATATTTATCACAACGTTTCGGCCTTTCAGTATCTATATTTCTGAGATGAGGTATTATGTACACTATTTACATTATTCAGACTATTGTCCTCATCTTTGTCGCCATATTTATCACAACGTTTCCGGCCTTCTTCAGGTGGGTGGAATGTAGAACTGAACCATTTATTACGCTCGCTAGAGTAGACTGTTCTACTTCCACATGCCATGTGTAGTGGATGTTAGTTATCGGTTATCTCCTGTTAATTCCCCTCTCCAAGTTCTCCACTGCCTTAACCGGGTATTGAACTCACACTCTTTGGATCCTGTCACTGGATTTAACTAACACCTTTATTCATTGTGCCATGTGTCCTTGACACATGAGAAGTGTGAGTTCAATACCCGGTTAAGGCAGTGGAGAACTTGGAGAGGGAATTAACAGGAGATAATTGATAACCGACATCCATTAAACATGCCACCTGGAACTAGAACAGTCTACCCCAGTGAGCGAAATAAAGGGTTCAGTTCGACATTTCAACCACCTGAAGAAGGCCGGAGCGTACAGAGGCCGAAACGTTGTGATAAACATGGCGACAAAGATGAGGACAATAGTCCGAATAATGTAACTAGTGTACATAATACTTCATCTCAGAAATATAGACAGATACTGAAAGGCTGAAACGTTGTGATAAATATGGCGACAAAGATGAGGACAATAGTCCGAATACAGTAAATAGTGCCCAAAAGAGATATACAGCATTTCCTGATACAAATATGTAAATGTTTACAAATGTGAAAACTTTTATACCAAACTTTTGCTAGTTTGTGTCAGTTTATCTATTTATAAATTCCAAATTTAAATATCTTACTTTTGCATATGCCACCCTTGTCCTCGTAGCCATCTGGACAGAGACACTTATAGCTTCCAATAGTATTCTTACAAATTTTTCTTCCATTGCAGATGTTAGGGTTTATTTTGCATTCGTCCAAGTCGATGTCACATTGTGAACCTTCCCAGCCTGTGTTACATATACATCCCTTTATGTTGTCACAAGTGCCAGAGACGCAGTTACAGGATTGTTTACAATTGTCTCCAAAATGATAGCGGTCACATTCTACAAAAAAAACAACAACCAAAAAAGTGAACTAAACGTGAAGAATAAACACACACATCTATCTATCTATCTATCTATGATAAAATATAATTTTTAAGGTACGCTATATTTATGGGAGAAAATGCTCAATATTAGGCATATAGTGTATGTAAATAAAAGCAGCGTGGACACAAGTTTGCTTAGAGGAGATTATAGTTATACTTATTTTCCCAGGCCATCACGAATTACGAAACAAAACATGAGAAATTATATATATATTATGAAATGTACAAAGTCCGACAATTATTTTAAGATATTTTTAAGTTTATACATTCTTTTTATAGATACAAATATTTAAGTAAATGCTCTGTTTATAATAAACAGTATTAAACAACATTTACCGGCCTGAATGTCCGAGAAATTTCCATAGAAAATACTCGTCCTCCGACAGGAATCGAACCTGTATCCTATACGGAACCGTCATATAGCCTGACGTGCCTTTAACCGATTGGGCCACAGAGGAGCGTTCGGTTTGAAAGGTCGATTTTACTGTCTTTAAATTTATTATAAACATAGCATTTACTTAAATATTTGTATCTATAAAAAGAATGTATAAACATAAAAATGTCTTATATATATATATATATATAATATTAATAAGTAAAACACAAATAAATCAGGAGAATACGATGTAGATAATATTAGTATACAGAATATATTTCGAAGAAAATAAATAAATAAACAGATAATTGAAAAAAATAATTAAAAACAACTAGTAAGAATGAAAGGTTATTTAGGAGAGAAAAGTGACTTAGAGACAAATTGTAAGCTTACGTCTGATCGCCAAGTAACTTAAATACAAACCCTAAACTTATCTATGACCGAGATAGTTAATAACAAACAATTCTACATAACCGCCGCTACAAAATATAGTAAACTTGAAAATCTTCTGCATATAATTACTCGTATCCAATAGCAGCAAGAATAACATAATAAAATAGTAATAACCAGCCTTTATATACATAATCGCCTAGTAACAAACATATATAAATAGTTGAGCAAGTCTTCCACTCTTATGGCCTAATGATTTTGTTTAAGCATGGAACAGACTACAGCCACCCAATGCTGTGATACATTTGTCCACGGGTTTATATATATATATATATATATATATATATATATATATATAGTTGGATTGATGTGAGATTGTGACCTTGAGTTTCACGCTATTTGCGATCGTCAGATAAACTCAGGGTTTGTCTCAGACGATCGCAAATAGCGTGAAACCCAGGGTCACCAACTCACATTAATCCAACTAAATATGTTAGCTCTATTACTGATATTGAGCACTTTCCAATAACTACCGCATATATATAAATAATATATATATATATAATATATATATATATATATATATATATATATATATATATATATATATATATTGATTGTGTATTTAGCAGCAGTCCTTCATTTTACATGTTTCATCAAAGACGGCAGACAAAAAAGTACTGCAATTAAGCATTTTATTTAATTGTTCTTGTGTTCGAACAATAATTTTCTTTCCTGGAAAAAAAGTGTGTAGAAACTGTCAAAATGTTCTGTAATTCCTAGCGCTTTCGGCTATTCTTTTACCCATTATCAAGGATGGTTTTATTTTTGCTTTTTAACTGGGTGCATGGGTTGTGTGCATGTTTCTAGAGTTATGGGGATGTTTTATTTCATGAACACGCAACTAGTTATATTGTTTTATAACCACTTGAAACCTTTTACAGATTTTATATTAGCGGCTAAATTTCATTATATATATTCAAGTTTTTATTGTTTGCATTAATCTGTTTTATTTATCCTTATCTCGAAATTTATACATGTTTGTAGATATTGGCAAAATCTGCTTAATTTTAATTTGAGTTTCTGTTCTCGAAGGAAAGCAAAACAAAAGATATGAGGTATTATGATTATTTACATTATTTGGACTGTTATTCTCATCTTCATTGTCATATTCACAACGAGAGAGAGAGAGAGAGAGAGAGAGAGAGAGAGAGAGTTTAGTTAAAGGAAAATAATATCCGAAAGAGGCATGGCACGCGGAACTAGAACAATCTACCCTGGTGGACGAAATAAAAAGTTCGGTTCTAAATTCCAATCACCTGAAGAAGGCCGGAGTGTACAAAGACAGAAACATTCTGATTATAGCAATGAAGATAAGGATAACAGTTCGAATAATGTAAATAAGACGAAAGATGTTTTAAAATAATTTATTGAAATCTAGCGTTACAATATTCAACAACTAAGCAGGAGGAGTTCTTCAAGTTACCAAAATACTTAGAAGAATTTTATTTCATTATATCATTATATATTTTAATACAACTTAGGAATTAAAATGTTGAATAATTTAGTTTTAATGTGTTCATGTACAATAAAATCAAATGAAGACGATTCCGTATGTTGTTAAATCGAATCAAATCTGTTAGATTGGAAAGACATTACTGAATAGTGTCTACCGAATGGCATATATTCAAAATAAATAAATAAATAAAATTAACAATTATTAAAGATGATTTTACTTCTAAAAAAACAGCCAATATTTCCAAATTTAGATAATCGCTATATTTTTGAATTAGCTAAGTCATGGTCATATGTAGTACATCTTAACAAAATAGAAAAATAAAAAAACCAACCAAAAAACAAGAAAGGAAAATATAGAAATATCGAAAAATATTAACCACAAAAATAATACTATTAAAACATATTTTTACATTGAGAATCATAACAATTACTGAATAAAAAAGGAGAAATTGGAATGATTGATGTTCATAAAAGTGATATACAGCCAGTTAAATTATTCTTAATTGCCACCGTTGCAATGTAAACTTGTAATAATTGTCATATGTTAGTTGTAGATGGGATTGGTATCATTAACTAAACCCTTTGCCTTGGCTATATCATGAATAACATCTTTACTATCTCTTGACTACGAAGATTAATTAAAACTGATATGATTTTGTACTTACTGGAACAGTTGAATCCATTCGACTCGAGTTTATAGCCGATTTTACAGCTACAACGGAAACTGCCCTGTGTATTCTGTGTGCAATTGTTTTCACATGGAGAGTTTAAGCAAGGATCTATACCTGTAATTTAAGGAAAGGAAAACTTGTACAATCTGGCTATTTCTGTGTTGATCATGATTTGTATCGTGTATTTATATGCACAAATACGGTTCTATTTCTACAGTTATTTATTAAGTTTAGTTTAGACACACAACCACAAATGTAGGGTGCCCTGTGAATATTGAATTCAGTAGAGTAGTAAGTCTTTACTCTGTTAGCTTCACAGCAAGACACACACTACTAATCGTGATATTTATTGAGCTTAGCTTAGTGCGCAATAAAATTAAACTTAATTTTCATATAAAGTCGTATCTGCAGCTTGATAAGCGTATTAGGCATTGGTGAAAGTGATAGTGTTTTCGAAATCTTGTGTAGTAAGACATATACACCCTTATGCAAATTGAAACAAAATGAATAATTCCGGTATTATTTACTTTTTCCAATGAAACATGACTCAGTGCACATGTTAGCTCTTCGTATGTCCATTCCATGAAGTTTTTCTTTGCAGACTGACCACAGATTCTCGATTGGATTTAAATCAGGATAGTTTCCGGGCCAGTCGATAGTATTTTGATTTGCTCACTGGTAAGGCTTGCCAGTGTGTTCGTGCAGCGTTACAATTTTCGTACGCTTCTTTGGAGTAACATCCATCGCAGACAATGGCTGTAGGACAACTAATCGACAGTCGAGACAATAGTGTCTTGTCGTGATGAAAATCTGATGCAATGACAGATGACGCAATATTTTTCAAGGCCAATTAAATTTCATCATACACCTCGAAAATATATTCATATTACTGCACATCACTGCAAATGACCTAATCTGAGGAAAAAATCGGAATCGACTACACCTTGTCACTCTCGTGGGTCTAAAACTGACCGTATGGAGAAAGAAAGAAAACTAAAGCAGTTGTTTCAATTAATTTGTACAAGGTTGTACTTACTTAAGTATGAAAATAATTTTGTGCACAGAAGAAATGTATAAAAATTTTCTTGAAACGATTTAAATATAAAAATTACTCATCTTATTTGCTTAATTTAATCTAACAACTGAAGATAAAATAATGTTTATTTTTTGCCCTAATGTCATGGTATTTATCTGGTAATTTATGTCAAATTTACACAATTTCTAGTTTAACAACGAAGGATTAATTCTCTAATGGGCTTTTAATTTGAACAATGAAATTGATGTTCTTAAAACAGTTGAGGTTATTTAAGAAGGTGGAATAAAAGAGAAGAGATAATTAAAATGCTATTGATGTAAGAACTTAAAAATCACTACAAGTTTTCTGCAATAAATCATGCTTTGACATGAACTACGGAAGAAAGCAAAAAATGTTTGGTCTTTTATAATATTTGATGAAAAATCTTAAGAACTGATGATCTTCGCATCTTATATAATATTAGGTATTCTCTTACCGTTTATAGTAAAATAATGAATTCTTGAGTAAAAGATATTTTGCATGGAAAACGATGGGTTAGAATAAATCTCAGATTGTATTATTGCTGTCGATAACTTTATGCGCAAACATTAAATAGGCATAATCTTTACAAGCTCACAACTTTCAGCTACAGAATTTGTACGAGATCAAATTGGCAGTCTTATTGGGAAAATTTGTAATTCATATTTAGAAGCATAATTATTTCGACATACTGTTCAAAATATCAGAAGAGACTGTATATCATGCATTATTCTTTATATTACCTTATTATTTATATGGTTAGAGTGTGTTTAGAACGTTCGCATTCGGACCATGAGACCGAGGTTCGAATCTCACTATAGTCGTTTTGTCTGGAGGGATCGATCCTGGCGTGCGGTACCTTTGGAAATTGCCTGAAAACCATACCACGGCTCTACCCAAGTCTTGTGAGTGAAATTAGGTAGACGTGCTGGCCTTGATCACACTAGATAACATGCTCTTTCCCAGAAACTATAACTAAGGTCTGCTCAGTATATTTGCAGTATAAACCACAGGTGGGGGTCTGTGGGTGTTGAATAAACACAAATGTGCCTGAGCAAGCGTCTGCAATAAGGATTGGTTAGCTGCTCTAATAGACGGGTATCCTCGAATACGAGTGGCCAGCTATATATATATATATATATATATATATATATATACCTTATTAGAAATTCTAATTTAGCAGTGAAAACTTTTTAACATATCTTAAAATTTAAGGACTTACGTTTGCAATTTTTTTTGTTTTCAGTCAATTCAAAACTTTTGTTACAATAGCAGACCGGTTTGTTATTCTCGATAACACAAATTTGGGAACATTTTGCTTCCCGACACAGTTCATTATCTGAAAAAAAGAAAAAAAAAATTTTAAATAATATAACAGAAATATCATTGTAGCGATGAGTTTTGTATTTTTCCAGTCAATATTGTTTTTTTTAGTGTATTTAAATTACTGAATCAGGAAATAATAATAGAGGCTGGGAAAAGAATTTACGAGGGAATTATGAACATCTTTGAAACTGAAAATTAAATAAATGTTACGTACTCAATATACTTAAACAGATTTAGATCTATTTTTGGCTTAGTGAATGAAAATGAAATAAAAAAAAAATCTGAATATGATCAATTGAAATATTTTCCATTAATTTTATAAATAAATTTGATTTTATAAATAAATTTGATTTTATAAATAAATTTCATTTTATAAATAAATTTCATTTTAATTCAAAATTTATAATAAAATTTTTTTCAATCCTTTTTAAAGAAAAATAGCAAAAACTGTTTAATGTCATTTAAAAGTAAATTACTTTATATTAATAATTTATAAAATATATCATAATTAATTTATTATTAAAAAAGTAAAGCAAAAATTATAATAAAGAAACATTTTTAAAGTGTAGTAGTAAACAGTGAGTCTCAAAAAGTAAAGCAAATATACTAATATTAGTGACTATTATATTTAGTTCTACGTTAGTAACTTACTTGTCATTCGCTTGCAGCTTCTTCTATCATCGTTTAATCGATAACCATTGTAACAATCGCAATTATAGGTGCCTTCAACATCTTTGCATTTCTGGGAACATTCGTGCATTCCATTTTCACATTCATTGATATCTATCAGAAAGGTAAATGAAAATGTATTTACCTGCACTAAAATAGATCCAATATATTAAACTCGAGACAACCATTCCTAAGCATATGTATAGAAGCATAAAAACAAACACATTTTAGCACCCCGCTATCACTTTCTTATCAATGTTGAATTTTGTACTGTTTTTGTGCAAAAAATAGATCCAGAGCGTACCCAGCTTCATACAGATTTTTAAGGAAATATCAGCTTCTAATTGGTCAATAAACACACGAGTGGCCGTTGAAATCCACCCACATACAAATACGTCAAGTTTTTACGCCATGTTCTTTCGATCCTGTCACGTGGTTACATTAATTATAAATAGCAGACACGAGTTTGCTCTTTCTCTCTTCTCTTCCCTTTTCCTGCGAAGATGTAAACTTTAAGGATCTCGTCTCGACCATGAGAGGTCAGACGTTAAAAGCATATTTACGCATGCACGTACGTACGAAATTACAAACATACGAAACATTTCCAAACAAGCAACAAGGAATTTTCTCTTTGAAATACTTTTCTAAAGCTACAGTTTATTCAGCATTTCTCAGCTTTATAATTCATTCAACTTTTGTGAGATCAGATAAAAATATTACTCAGTCAAATGGACATAACACCAACAAAATAGTAACCTCTACGCCTGTATAGCATTACACAAAAATAAATATAAGTGTTGTTATAAAAACAATTTTTATTCCTTCAACTTTTGTGAGCTCAGATAAAAATATTACTCAGTCAAATGGACATAACACCAACAAAATAGTAACCTCTACGCCTGTATAGCATTACACAAAAATAAATATAAGTGTTGTTATAAAAACAATTTTTATTCCTTCAACTTTTGTGAGCTCAGATAAAAATATTACTCAGTCAAATGGACATAACACCAACAAAATAGTAACCTCTACGCCTGTATAGCATTACACAAAAATAAATATAAGTGTTGTTATAAAAACAATTTTTATTCCTTCTTGCTGTTTCATATTTTGTGGTATTTTACCTTAAATATAAATCGTGTGGTCATCTTAATAAACGGACATCTACAAATGGTCCATTCTTGTTAACATACCACAACAACATCGATATATTATACACACAATAAATAGTTTAGGCTATTTGTAAAAAAAATTAAACAAAAATTACTTTCGCAGTTCCAACCATCTCCTTGAAAACCTGGATGACATTCGCAGTTGTAACTTCCAGGAAGATTGATGCATTTTTGAGGACAATTATGTGTGTTGGCACGGCATTCATCAATATCTACAAATAAAATGCATATCCTTATTAGAACGAGGATTATGATGATTAATATAGTAGTTGACGTAATGATGGGAGGATAAATATTAGAAATTATTCTGTTGTTTTTTGCTAATAAACTGCTGTTAGAAAAGCAAGTGTTTACCTAAAACTTGTGATGTTAATTAAATGGACAAAATGATTAATACACTTCGGTTATTTACCGTAAGATTGTTTACATTAACACTTAGTTTGTATTTAATTAGTTCATGTGTAATGCTCATGCTTAATTAGTTCGTGTTTACTGTCCGTGTTTAATTTGTTCGTGTTTAATATTCGTGTTTAATTAGTTCGTGTTTAATATTCGTGTGTAATTAGTTCATATTTAATTAGTGCGTGTTTAAAGTTCGTGTTTAATTAGTTCGCATTTAATTACTTCGTGTTTAATGTCCGTGCTTAATTAGTTCGTGTTTAATATTCGTGTTTAATTAGTTCGTGTTTAATTAGAATTTAATTAGAAACTCTTGTAGACGGAGAACTATGGACAAGGAGAATCTGTTATGTCATTCTAGCTATATCAAGGGACGAAATTACCAAGGGTATGATGAAAATAAGTGAAAAAATCGAAAATAGCAGTACTTCATTAGTGAACATAAAAACTGGGAACGATAAAGATTAAGGAAGTATTGTGCGAGAAAATGTGCTATTGAATTTATATATATATTGAATTGAATTATATATATATATATATATATATATATATATATATATATATATATATATATATATATATATATATGTGTGTGTGTGTGTGTGTGTGTATATATATATCTGAACTGTTCATACATGAATGTGTTTTTGTATGATATTTGATATCCGAAAAAAAGTAATCTTTAGTACTTATCTTATGTCGATTGTCACGAGCCTGAATAAATACGTCTTACTAGTTTGACTGCCAGGAACCAAAGAGTATGTTTGACTTTCGCGCCTAACGATCCCCCGGGCAGTTCACGTGACTATCTATATATCTGTTTTTAGCTTTTTTAGGGGTTAGTCAAAGGGAGATAACTCTTGTCTCCCTCAACAAAAGTTTCTATAATAGTTGGCGCACTTAAAAGCATGCCAAACGCACTCGAATCGAGTTTGACTGAATCAGATTCCCTAATGAATTGAGACTGTTGCTGGTGTAAAAGTGCTTGAGACTTGAGTGAAGTTCAAGCGGTCCCAAAGATCCTTGTGAAAAGATTTTAGAAGTATCAAAATAATCAAGACATCATCATTCGAATCTGTATGAATGGAAAGTGCTGGCGTTTTGCGGAGACAAACTCTCACTTAATTTTCAACAAAAGCTACCAGATATGTCAGGGATGAAAACTCAACGAATTCAAAATAATAATGTCAAAACGATAATAAAGTTTTTGAAAAAATAAATAAGAGGAAATCAATTAAGTGAAATTTATTAAATGGCTAATATAGAGATTGAGAATTGCCAGTCAAGTTCTATGGAAGACTATAAAACGTAATTTTTACAAACGTTTAGTTTGAAATCCCTGTTGATTAAACGACAAGGGAAGATAATATCGCAAGTAATCAAACTGATAAATTTTGCTTGCATTATTTGCATTATTCGGACTGTTATCCTTATCTTCATTGCCATATTCATAACGTTTCTGCTGTTGTACGCTCCGGCCTTCTTCATAGCCGAGTGGGTAAAGACATTGGTTAGATCCAGTGACTAGAGAAAAGAGTTGTGAGTTCAAGCAGTTGTGAACCAAAACTTGGAGGGTCGAGTTAAAGAGAAATAATTGAGGCATCCGGAAGAGGCATGGCACGTGAAACTAGAACAATCTACCCTGGTGGGCGAACTAGAGAGTTCGATTCGAAATTCCAATCACCTGAAGAAAGCCGGAGCGTACAACGGTCGAAACATTGTGAATATGGCAATGAAGATGAAGATATCAGTCTGAGTACTGCAAATAATGCAAGTAATCAATACTTCGTCTATGCCATCCAATCCTCTGAAGAAGGCCGGAGCGTACAACAGCCGAAACATTGGGAATATGGCAATGAAGATGAGGATATCAGTCCGAGTACTGTAAATAATGCAAGTAATCAATACCTCGTCTATGCCATCCAATCCCCTAAAGAAGGCCGGAGCGTACAACAGCCGAAACGTTGGGAATATGGCAATGAAGATGAGGATGACAGGTAGAATAATGTAAATAATGTAAGTAATCATGATACCTCATCTCAGAGATATAAACGAATATTGATAAATTTTTATACTTCTTTAAAATATACTATTCTAGCAATATGAACATAAAGTCTGGGAAAAAATATTTGGGGACACAGTACTTCCGGTGTATTGGAAATTAGATTACTATGCAAGTTAAGTAAAGAACAAACAGGGAAATATAGCAATTCCAAATTAATTAGTGCTACTTACCTACGCATCTTGACCCATCATAAATATATCCATCCATGCAAATACAATGATAAGCGCCTTGAGTATTCACACAAGTTTTGTTTTCATATCTATAACAATTATGTGTTTCACTACTTGCGCATTCATCAATATCCACATCACAGTTTCGACCAGACCAGCCTTCTTTGCAAATGCATCCATGCACTGAGTTACAACTCAGTTCGTTGCCATGGCAATCACACTTATTTTGGCAGTTGGGTCCCCAGTGGAACTGGTCGCATTCTTAAAAAAATAAGAAAACACTTAAATAAATAAAATAAAAATTAAACAAAATAATTATCACGTTAAGTGTCATTACTTTCAAATTACAAAGTTTTTACTTTGAAAGCAACAAAAGTCTTTGCCAAGCACACACACACACACACACACACACACACACATATATATATATATATATATATAATGCCTTTAAATTCTTTGAGGAACATACGGCCTCAAGATATCGTTGAGATTTTTATAACAAGCCATCTTTTAAGTGAGTAGGTTGTTAACTGCACATCATTTGTCCTTCTCCTAGATCAGTCCTCGCCCAGGGCTATAGAACGTAGCTAGGGGGATGGGGAGAGAAAAAAAAGATTAACACGTTTTCCAAGTTGTAACTATTAGCACGTAAACGAATGTAATGGATTCCATTGGAATTCGAACAGGGCTCTTCGTTTCCTTAATCCGAGCCGCTATCCATTACACCACCGTGCCTCCTTCAGAGCCCAGGTAATCGAAAGGAATATTTACTGCTCCTCCTCCTCCCTTTGACTCTTCTAATCGTAGGGCGGATCTGAATGCAGAAGATACACTAACTCTTTTCCACAAAGATCTATTAACGGCAGCCATCAGCAATTCTGGTGCAGTCATACCTGTCCATTGTTTGACATTGTCCAACCAGTTTTTGCGTTGGTGTCCTTTCCTACATGCACCTCAACGGTGCCTTGCATGATGGTCTTGCACAGACTCTCCTGTCTTGTAATGTGTCCAAACCTCGCCATTTTTATCTGTTTGACAGTGTCAAGGAGAGGTTCCTGATGTCCCACAAAAATTTCAACTCTTTTCCGCACAAACTCATTGGTATTTTGTTCCCAATAGAAAACGCCAAAGAGTTTTCTCATGCATTTGTTCTCAAACGCTTGGATCCTTCTCTCTGTATCTGCCAACAATGTCTACGTTTCACATCCATATAAGAGAATGGAGACTACCAGCGATTTGTACAGTCTGTACTTTGTTTGAAAGCTGATTTTGGTCCTCCATATTCTTGTCAATTTGGCCATCACTGCTTATAATTTAGATTAAATTAGTTTAATTATTCACTATGGTAAGAACTTTTATAAAATAACCTATGGGAAAATGTATAAAACATTTTACTTTTGATGGATTAATTCAGAAATAAATTTTGAATGTAATTTTGATGTTTCATTAATTTAAATCAATGAGAGGTTTAATCAGTCAAATGTTTAATAAGTGTAAAAGATTAAGAATATTTTGCTTACTTTCACAGTTGATGCCATCTTCTTTCAGTTTGTATCCAGGGTAACAACTACACTCAAATGAACCAATTTTGTTGCGACACAGAAATGAACAACGGCTGACAGATTCAGAACATTCATCAACGTCTAATGCATTGAGAAAAATAAATTTGGAGATATTAAGTAGACAGTGTTTGGAGACGGAAGGAATGAGAAAGAAAAAAATAAGGTTATCAAATAGAATATATATATGTATATATAAATTGAAATTTATGGCATTCAAAATTTTATAGTGAATCGAAAAGCTTATAAATAAAAAGTACTTCAAAAGATAAAGCAACAGTGATATTTACCCACACAATTGATGTTGTCGTCTGCCAATTTATAACCAGCTGGACAGAAGCATTTTGCTTTTCCATTGTCCATTTTGCAACCATAATAACATTGAGTCATGTTAAATCGTTCGCAATAATCAGTTACTGTAAAATATATATTCAAGCATAAAAATAAAGAAACTCGGAAATAATTGTAAATGAAAGGCAATTTAAATTTGATTCCATCTTATTTTGTATTTTTAATGTTTTAATCAGTATCAAAAGGAAAATGTTCGTTGTAAACGAGTCTAAACCTTGTGCAAATTAACTGAAACAAAACAAATAATTCCGCTATTATTTACTTTTCTTAGTATTTTTCCAATGAAACATGACCCAGTGCACATGTCAATACTTCGTTTGTTCATACCACGAAGTCGTTCCTTGCAGACTGACCACAAAATCTCGATTGGATGTAAATCAGGAGAGTTTCCGAGCCAGTCGATAGTACTTTGATTTGCTCACTGGTAAGCCTTGCTAGTGTGTTCGTGCGGCATTACAATTTTCCTATGCTTCCTTGGATAACCTCCATCGCAGACAATGGCCACAGGACAACTAATCAACAGTTGAGACAATAGTGTCTGGACGTGATGAAAATCTGATGCAATGACAGATGACGCAATATTTTTCAAGGCCAAACAAATTTCATGATACACCCCGAAAATAGATTCACTACAAATGAACTAATCCGATGAAAAAATACAAATCGATTACACTCTGTCACTCCAGTGGGTCTAAAACTGACAGTATGGTGAAAAAAATGGATAGACAATTGTACTTGAAAATAAATCCGTAATCAGCTAAATATATCTATTTGTCAAAACTTTTAAAATTAGAGCTTGTATTTTCTTGTATGATCAGATTGAGCATTTGATTAATCTTTTAGTGATTTTAAGTAAGTGTACTTTAATGATTTGAACAAATCATGACAGATGAAATTAAATTAAATGATAATAAAAATAGCAAAATTAATTTACCTTTCTGGCACGATTTCTTATCTGGGTTGAGCTCATAGCCAACTGAACAAAGGCATTTGTAACTTCCATCTGTATTTTCACACTTAATTTCACAGTCATTGTCAGGACTGGCGCATTCATTTATATCTGAATTCAAATGATTGAAAAACAGGGTTTCATTTTTTAATGTACTTAAAATAACTATAAAAAAACGAAAACTGTCAGTTATTTAAGAAAAAAAATCAAGTGAAAAAGTTACGAGCAAAGTAACAGGGGTTAATAATTGTTGGAAAATATTAATTGGTATTTAGTTTATTTCCACATTTTAATTGAATCATTATGAAAAAAATGGTTGACACGTCGCGACGAACGTATGTGTTCGCAGGGATATTCCATGCCTTGGACACATGTTAGGACTTAAATTGAACCCTGACCTGTAGTGGACCGTGGCTGTTATGTCGTTGAGTAGACGTAGAAGAACACGTGTGGGTTCAGATTCTCCTGCTCGCCGGCCCAACTACACGAGAAGGTTGGACTTTTAATTAAGTCCAAAGAATGCAAAGAAAACAAACAAAACACAAGACCGATAATATATGTATACAAATATACATTAATAACAAGTTACACGAAAACAGTTACAAAGGACAAAGTGTGTGTGTGAATATTATATATGTGCGTTTGTGTGTGTGTGTGTATTGTGCTTAGCGTGTTCCCAGCATTTTTGGGAAACGCTATCCCTTGTTAGCGCCTACATTTCGAGGTTGTAAGCTGAAAGACTGAGGAAAAAGAGAGATTTACCTCCAGGTGTCGGCGCACAGGCCTGAGGGAAAAAGAGAAAGAGGCGAAGGGTCAGCGGCTATTTATAGCCAGGGAAGAGAGACCCCTAGTGAAAGGGTTACGAACTGAAGGAGGAGTTAACTCCGACAATACCTCAAGTGGAACTCATGCATATGATCCATCGCTAAAGATGCTGGGAAAATGTTCGGTTCCCTGGACCCCTCCAGTAAGTAGTTGACTGCTGCTATTCCCTAACATTACAAGAGTCAGATCAAGCCGAAAATGGAGTATTGCTGCCATATATGGTCAGCAGCTGCCCAGTCTTCACTTTCCAAGCTCGATAGAGTCCAAAACTGTCACCGTGTCCTTGTGGTTAAACAATTATTTTCCACCCTACAAGTCATTTCCCACAGACGAAACTTCGTAGGTATCTCCATGGAAAATGTTCAGACGAACTACGTTCTTTAGTTCCACCAGTTCTAATCCAAGACCCAGCATGCCATTCACATTGTAGCAAACAACCTTCATTCCTTTTGTATTTTATTGATGAGATGTAACTTCCACTTGAGCAACATGAAACACTACTTTTGGAACCGGATCGCAAGAATATGCTTCCCGGGTCGCTACAATCGTAACCTGTTCAAGTCTAGGGATAATCATTATCTTACTATGCAACCCTCTACCTCAAGTATTTATTGCGCATTATAGAGGTTGAACATCATTGTGTAAAAATAACAAATAAAAATAAAGGGTAAGTGTACCAGAGCATTTTGTTTCGTCAGTTAACTGATAACCAGGCCAGCAGGAACATGTGTAACTCCCCAAAGTATTGGTGCAACCCTGTTCGCATTCAGATATCCTTTCTGTACATTCGTCAACATCTGCAATAATAAATATAATAAATTAATAATAATATATATATATATATATATATATATATATATATATATATATATATATATATATATATATACTAATAAATACACATATACCTACGTTTGGTGTACGACTTAAATTTCGTGTTTACCCAACTCATCGGGCACAAGATATAGCTTATTGTTTATTTAAAAAAGTATACAGATGCTCATGGGATGGACGCAGATTCATAGTTAAAAATTAAAATAGTACACAAATAGTACTAAAGCAATACTGGAGTTTAAGTGCAGTAAATGGAGTTTAGGTATGAGTCAATAATAAAATAAAAGAGAAAAAAATGGGAATTGAAATATGCTTAAAATTTAAAATTTGAACAATGGACGCTGTTGGTAAAAATCGTTTCACTGGTTAAAGGGAGGTAATCAGTGTATGTCCGAAAATAAGAGCAGGCGTAAAATTAAAAGTTGAAATTAAATTTAGTCGAAAAGTGGTTTTCTCCAGAATTACAATATATATATATATATATATATATATATATATATATATATATATATATATATATATATGTGCACTATCATCCACAGACAGATTGTTTCGCTCATCAGTGTGACTAGATATCCGATTACCTTCAGCCGGGATCGAAGCACGACTGATATATATATGAAAATGCTTTGTGTGCCAAGGCATACTTAAATAGTTATTTCGATATTAAATGTTATTAAATTAATATTTGGAGTAACAGTTCGCTAAAAAAAAATAAAATACGAAAAAATGATATTTTATTTTTTAATATATATACTTTTTATCCAAGTACCACTCGCTAAAAATAAGTAAGTTATACAAAGTATAAAAAATTAACTGCTAAATATCCTTTGATAAATGAAAGTAATCAATAAAACTTAATCATCAAGTAAAAAAAATTCTCACCAACGCATTTATCTTTATAGAGTTTGTAACCTTTTGTGCAATTACAACTGTAGGTTAGACCAAGTGAAGTCTGTTCATGTGGTTTTTTATCGATACATTGAGCTTCCCCAAGGCAGGGTGACGAAGCACATCCATCGTAATCAATATCGCAAGATTTTCCTGAAAGTATAAGTCGATAAATATAAGAGATGCAAAAAACATTTAAAACAATTTATGAAGCCAAGAAGCAAAAAGACGAACCAATAGCGAAACAAATATACAAAGCTAGTTGGTACTCTGGGTCGCGCCAGAAGGTTTTTCTCGACTGAGTTCATCCTTCAAATCTACTAGTCAAAATTCGTCCTTGCATTAAATACTGTTGTCATATATGGTCTGGCTTCCCCGCTGTTCATCTCGAGGTCCTCAATATATATACGGATATGCAATGTGTTAGGTTCTGATCTGGCATCTCGTCTACAGTCACTTTCTCACAGATGGGCTGTGGCTTCCCTCTGTCTTTTCTACAAATATTTTCATGGTGACTCCTTTGACGAGCTATTTTCACTGGTACCCCAACTACAGGAATTTAAGCGTGCTACTAGATTGGCATCTTGGTCCCAACCTTTCACTGTCGAAACAATTAAATATAACCGACTCTTCTACTCCAACAGCTTCTTCTCTCGCACTTCCCGACAGTGGAACTCCCTCCCTCTTATTTACTTCCCTGATAGCTATAATATTCAAATGTAATATCAATCGACATCTTCTGATGCCTTGATCCTGATCCCTGACCTTCCCTATATCCTATCCTCAAACACCTTCTCTACTCTTGCTTTCACTTTCTGTAACCCCTTACGTACTAGTAGCACTCCCGCTTTGCTTGGGGTGAATTGCTTAAAAAAAAAAATTCAACAAAATGTCATTTATAGAAGTTTACATCCATTATTCTTCCCGATTATATAGAATGAGAAGATGGGCCATACATTGGCGTAGCTACAGTAAACGTCACCCGGGGCGGTCCGCTCAAATGTCACCCCAATGACCCTGATTCACTCTATGCTGAATGGTTAGCTGTAGCTAAATTTTCATACATGCTCTACCTCTACTTTACTCTACTGACCGGTACGTTACTGTTTACATGTATGATCCAAGACAAAATCGAATACAACAAAATAATCAGTTCAAATCAAAAGCTGAAAACATTGCTACTCACAAATTTCACGACAATTTATTAGAATATTTCTGATGGGTGGACAAAACTGGGGGGTCATAAATTATTTCGTGGGGGGGGTCATATGCCGGCCTGCGAAACCCTGTGTCTCCACCACTGTTTTCAGACTATTTTTGGCACCTTAGCTGGTTGAAAAATTATGTTGGGGGGGGGGGTGACATTGTGTCACACCTCCTGTGCTGGCACCCGGGGCGGTCCGATCCCCTCCCCCACCTTAGCTACCCACTGGGGCCATACTAAATGCTGGTTTTTATGGCCCATCAACATCAACATGGTTTTTATATTATTATACGTGTCTTCACGTTATTGTATAACATTGAAAAACTTAACATGAAAACAAAAATTATATATACACATTTGTTATACTAATTTTCCTGATTTGATTTGGAAATCTTGCCTTCGAACACGCCATCAATTCCAGGAATGCGGGTAGAACAGAATCAGAATTCTGATCCAGAGTGTCATCCTAGCATTTCGAGTAAATATGTTTATCTTACCTGTATAACCGATATCACAATTACAGCGAACTTCATGAAATCTTTCAGTTGAGTTCGAATCGAATTCACAAGTACCATGTTTGCAATCGGGACAAAGAATAATTTGAACTTCATGGATTGGTGCCACAGCTCCCTTACTGTCTTTTGCCACGATTCTAAAATATTGAAAATATTTAATTCAAATAAATTCTTGTAATGAGATATTAACAATCATAATGAATTAATCTTAGAAGATGCTATTAAATGATTTGATAAAAAGCTAAATATATTTAACATAAAAAACGTATTTAAACTATTCGGTTTGAAGTCATATTAGATAAAAAAAAAAAAATTCCAAAATATACTAAATTTAGGAATCAAAGCTAGAATATGCCTCAGAATATGTTTTTCAAATTCAAAATCATGAACTGTTTAAAATAAAAACAGATCACCTCAATATACTATATTAGTAAATCTTTGTCTATATTTCTGAGATGAGGTATTATGTACATTATTTACATTAGTCGGACTATTGTCCTCATCTTTGTCGCCATATTTATTACAACGTTTCGGCTGTTGTACGCTCCGGCCTTCCTCAGGTGGTTGGAATGTCGAACTGAACACTTTATATCGCTCACTGGGGTAGACTGTTCTAGTTCCATGTGCCAAGGAATCAGCACATATGCTAGGCCACAAAAATCTCCTGAGCCGACCAAGCATATAAATGAATATAATAGAGGAGCCAGTAATAAGGAGTGTCAGAGAAAAAGTGATAATAACAACAAAAATTGCAATATGAGCTCTGGTAAAAATATGATTTGATAACAGCACAAATTACAATATGAGCACTGGTAAAAAATGAAGACTTTATAATACCCAGAAATCCATACACAGATGTCCTCAAGGACACATGGCACAGTGGATAAAGGCGTTAGTTATATACAATGACAGGACCCAAAGAGTGTGAGTTCAATACCCGGTTGAGAACTTGGAGATTGGGAATTAACAGGAGATAAGTGATAACTGACATCCATTAAACATGGCACGTGGAACTAGAACAGTCTACCCCAGTGAGGGAAATAAAGGGTTCATTTCGTCATTCCAACCACCTGAAGAAGGCCGGAGCGTACAACGGTCGAAACGTTGTAATAAATATGGTGACAAAGATGAGGACAATAGTCCGAATAATGTAAATAATGTAGTAAATCTTTATTATTTAAACCTGTTATAAGCTTTAAGAAAAATGAAATGAAAAATTTTTTTAGCATTTAATCGGGAAAATTTGAATACTGGGAAATTAGGTTAAATACTAGCTAGACAAAATTTCATGACCATATTTAAACAAAGCTTTAATTGGCAAACACGTAACAAAATTTAGCTGAAGCATTTGTACAATCACACCTCATCTTTTAGAATTCCGTAGCATAGGTACAGCATGAAGCTAGCAAGCTACTATTAGAGATTTAGGGAGAGAGATAGCAAAAGTCCAAGCATTAAATGAAGCATTTTAAGAATTTTCAAAGACTAACATAATAGTCAAGAATACGTGTAGGTTATGCCAAAAAGCGAAACTGTCTATAGCTAGATATAAAAACAGCAAAAAATTGCTGAACGGGAAGTCAGAAATCAAGACCAAATGCAAACATTTTAAGAAGTTCAGCTTGCGGTTATTCGAACCCGATTAAAGTTTCTATTTTCCACCACTACTTCCGGTTTCGATAGTGATTAAGTTGTTGAGCTACATGCAGTTGATTTGCTGAACAAATCACCTGAGGAGACCGTAGAGGTCGAAACCGCGGTATTGCGCTCTGGTCAGCTATTAAAGCTGACCAGAGCACACTACAGCGGTTTTAGATATTAAAAAAAAGTTCTGCAAGTCTGGTCTTCCGACTTTGTATTGAGCACTTTTAATACGTTCAGTTTTAACAAATATTTTGCTCTTTATGTTACTCTGGCATATATATATATATATATATATATATATATATATTAGCTAGGAAAACGCGAAATTTATAAGTCATTTGTAAATAGAGGGAATGCTTACTGGGTCTGAATGTTATTGGACTCTAGTTTCTTGAAATTCATTTTTTTCTCTCTTCCATTCCATTTGTTAATTTAATTTCCACTCTTTTATAAATTTTCTATTCCCAGAAAACTAAACTTGAAAAGTCCTGGGACGAAACCGGTTGTTTTTTTATCTTTTTTTTTTTTTTTTTTATAAAAAATGACTTATAAATTTCGCCTTTTCTAGCTATTATTAAATTCTGTACCACAATATATATATATATATATATATATATATATATATATATATATATATATATAGTTTTAAAAACAAGGAAACCATTGATTTTAATTATACATACAGCCGATTCCAATAATCATTTGAAGATTTTGGAATCTGTCTGTATAGGATTAAGAAAACCTTCTCTCTGCCGGCAGAAAGAATTTATAAGGTCTCTGAATCTGTTGGGGGATATTTTATTTTAACTGTCCCTCGCTAATTTATTTACACGATCCCTTCCCTCGTTGCAAGTATATATACTTGTTCGTTATTTTAGTGTGTTTCCCCCTCTTTTTTGCTCTTCAATATAGTTAATATTCTTTTCGCTAATCCAACGATTGTCTCCTGATGAGATGTTGGCTGAAAGGGCCCTAGAGACTTTTAAAATTAAAATCAATGGTTTCCTTGTTTTTAAAACTATTTATAAATTTTGTACCTCCAAACATTTGTTTATATATATATATATATATATATATATATATGAAAAAAGATTGTTTCGATATGATTGATTTGTACTTACCCAATCTCAACTGGATTGGTGTTGTATGGTGTATAGGTTAAAATACCCTTTTTGCTCGTATCATTGTAAGTTATATTCACATTTGGATAATCTTTAACGAGGAAAGCCGTCGCTGAATCACCATCTACAACTTCAAAGTTGAGCTTTGCGGAAGTGTTCACTTTGACGTGAATAACCTTTAAACCAACAATCAGAGGAGGCTGGTTTTCTGGCAATAAAGAGCCGACAGAAACAAATGACAGCAAACTTTTGTGACCAAGTAAATGGTTAAAGAAATAACAAAGCAATTGTTACAGATATATCATATATTAAACAGTAAATACAGCAGAAAAGTATTACACGACTAATTAGTGGATGTCGTTTGACCCAGCGTTCAATCTATTCGACCGTTATATTTATCAGCCTCCCTACGAGGTAGGATGTAGCACAAGGCCGAGTTTACCGTGGGTTATCCGAGCCCGTAGGCTCGGCCAAAAATATTCCCTTAGAACCTGCATAAACGGGTTCATGGCCTGTCTACCTCACCGGACGAAACCCTGCCCTTCGGCAAAGCCTCGTTTGGGCTCCTCTCTGCTCAAGGCAGAGAGTTCGATAGTAATGAACAATCTGGTCGACTGTTATATTTAACAGCGCCCCCACGACGTATGTATGTAGCACAAGGCCGAGTTTACCGTAGACTCGGCCAAAAATATTCCCTTAGAACCCGTATAAACGGGATCAGGTTCTGTCTACCTCCCCAGACGAAACTTTGGCAAAGCCTTGTCCGGGTTCCTCTCTGCCGAGGCAGAGAGTTCGACAGTTGAACAATCTGGTCGAATGTTTCACCAAGGCCTTCTCTTCTACTAATCTTATAGTAGGCTGAAGAGCCCAACATAGAAACTTTAGAGGGAGGACACCACAACGCAGACACATGCAGACATACATTTCTTATACAATTGTACATTTATGTGTGCATGTGTATTTCTATCTGTATAAATATAAAACTGAAATAATCTTTCTTATAAAAATAATTAAAAAAAATATACTATTATCTAGATTGGAAAAACAGAATATTTTAGCTCAACTCAACGAAATCAAATTCTTCAAATAAATTCAACTTTATAGGAAGTTTTCAATAATTTCTTTCTGTAAAAGATATTTTTTGGTAGAAGGAATCTTCCATTTTTACCTCTGAACTCCGTATTTTCTTCTGCAATTTCCATAACAATTTTGGTGTTTTTGGCAATGTCATCATTTTTAGTGGTAAGATAATCGTACATACATTCCATACTCTTGTTGCAAAGTTGTTTTGCTTTGGTATCATTCATCAAGACACTGCGTTTGATGAACTTTGGCACAAAATTTGGATGATCATAGCTCGAAGCATTATTTCCAGCTTGGTAAATAAAATGAGTTTTATTTGCCTTCCCTTAAAATACAAAAAAAGGAGTCATTATCGTCTTATTATTGATTCAAATAAATGTGTAATTCATTTAAAAGTGTTAAGGACTTTTGCTTTGTTTTATATTCATTAAGATAAAGATTTTATTATTATAAAATGTATAATCTACCATTCTTTATTAATATCTATAAAACCGACAAAATAATATTTTCTGAAAAAATATTACCTTTTTTAAAATTCCAAATGCTTAAAGACACAACAGGAATATGTTCCAAAAGAGTCTGACTTGTCTACAGGCAGCTACTTTAAAAATTGAATAGGCAATTTAAACGTGAACTTCGAATGCAATTATAATCAGATCCTGGATAAATTATTCGTCATAAAAGGGATACTTACAAAGCAAACCGTAGTTGTAGATTTCTTTATCTGTCATGTTGGGAGAAAATAATGTTCCATTAGGAGCCGTGAAATCGTTATCAATATTCCCGTCCACAACGCCGAGAAGGCCGCTTGTGGTCATTGTCCTTATGAGGTCCGGAGAAAAAGAAACAGAAATGTCCAGCACTCTTTTATAGTGATGGACATTAAGTGTCAAACCTAAACACCAGGAAAATATGAATGATAGTAAAATAATTCAGACATAATTCTGTGAGACATGAAATTGAAAAAAAAATATACAAATGAAAAGAAAAACATATGTCGGTTTACCTCCTCGTAATTTTCGAAAGCGCTACTTCCGGTTCTGTAAATACTAGGCGATATCTTTTCTCGCTCTTTTTTCTCATTTCTCCGCATAGAAGTCAACATGTAAATTAACAGCGGAAGAACGCGTTCCCCTTTTGGGATACGCATGAACAATACAAACACGTACGTAAACACCTTACACTTCAGTTTTTCTAGGACTTTCTCTTACACCAAACTATACATTCACAAAGAATTCACTAACTTAAATGTTTTCTCCATTAATGTCCATTGTTTAGTAACACAACAATATTCTATTGTAAATGTAACCCTTTATTTTTATTACATAATCATTTATTTGTACACACACACACACACACACACACACACACACACACACACACACACACACACACATATATATATATATATATATATATATATATATATATATATATTGGTCCTTGTTGTTTCTTATAATTTTAGTTGCTCTAATACCCTGAGTCTGCCATGTTTGTTGTAGGAAATTCCAGGAGACATATGTGTTTATCTCTTAAGGCGTACACCGGCCTGCAACATATATATTACTTCTTAGGTCAGCTCGGCGTGGTGTAATGGTTAGCAAGCTTGTCTCGCTAAAGCAGTTACGACTGAATAGTGAGTTCGATCCTCACTGAGTGCTCCACACTCTCGGTCGTGTGCCACGTCTAAGCTACGCCTAGAAAGTCATTTTGTGCACCACAAGGCGGTGTAAGGTTTAGAGAGCTTGTTTCGCTAGAATAATTATGATTGAATACTGAGTTCAATTCTCAGTGGGTGTTCCCCACTATCGACCTTGTGCCACATCTAAGCTAAACTTAGAAAATCACTATGGGACACCCCGATGCGGTGTAATGGTTAACAAGCTTGTCTCGCTAGAACAGTTACGACTGAGTAGTGAGTTCGGTCCTTACTGGGTGCCCCATACTTTTGGCCTTGTGCCACATCTAAGCTATGCTTGGAAAATCATTATATGACTTGTTAAATTGATTGTAAGTGATAAAAACTCTATTTATATCTAATTTAATTTATATATAATCGTAAGATAATTGAGAGCAAATTCAACAGAGGATTTTTATAAGATTACATAAGGTATTTTATTTTGACACATTTATTATAATTTTAATACTGTGTTTATTTGTTTAAGAATGAAGGAATATTTCTTACCAAGTTGAAATATTACTTGAATTCCTCCGCCATTAATTTTTCTCAACTGCATATAATCCATAACTTGGTAAAAACGTTCTTCATCCTTGAATTGGATGGTAAAATCAATGCCATTAGCCAGTACCACGAGTCCTGTGAAAATAATTGGCATCAGAATACATAGGCAGAGAAAATGTACGAGAAAATCATGGAGAATTGTAGTTTAAAAACAGTAAAATCGACCTTGCTAACCGAAACGCTCCTCTGTGGTGAAATCGGTAAAAGCACGTCAGGCTATATGACGGTTCCGTATAGGATACAGGTTCGATTCCTGTCGAAAGACGCATATTTTCTATGAAAATTTCTCGGACAGGCTGGTAAATGTCGTTAATACTGTTTATTATGAACAGAGCATTTACTTAAATATTTGTATCTATATATCTAAACATAAAAAATGTCTTAAAATAATTGTCGGACTTTGTCCATTTCACAATATAATTTATACAAACTGGCGAAATAGGTCGTTCGTGACTGCATTTGAAATTAAAAACAAATAAAACTTGTTAATGTACAAAAATATTTACCTTCTCTGTCTTGCATCATTTCCACCTGAAATTTGTTGCCATATTTGTTGTCAACTGCGACGAAAGCGGTGAAAATAGTTGCATCAGTAAGGGACCCGGAAGGACTTTTTGTTCGATCGGTTCGCCCTTCTAGCTCAAAAAGACATTGCGAAGGATTGTCTTTTAGAAAAAGTTTCATTAGAACGAACTCACCCCATCCATTAAAGGTAAACAGTTTACCATCAATTGTTTGAATATGTGGATCTCCGAAAGCGCCTCCTGAAAGAAGAAAAAAATATGCCGTTGCCTTCTTATAAAGATACACTTATCATTATATCATTATTAATTTTCAGCATTGAATTTATATATATATATATATATATATATATATATATATATATATATATATAATTATTTATTTAAAATATGATTCCAACTCGCGACATAAGAGGTCTCATGTTTCAAAACAAGAGCCGAAAACTTCAATATAATTATTTGAATTAAATTGAATTAAAGTAAGCTCTGTTCCATCTTCAAGCGAAATTTTTTTTTGAATCCTATTTCCTATTTTCTATATATTTTCACACACACACACACACACACACACACACACACACACACACACACACACACACACACACACACATATATATATATAAATAAATAAAAGTACGTAGTTTTTGCATTACTACATTCTGATATCTTCGATGGAATCTCATGATTTGATCTTCTCAGATAAATCAAGAATCTGCAAAGTTATCGTTCTTGGAATGACATCTCAGCTTCAGTTATTTTCTTACTGCTGTAACGTAGTTTTCCTCTGTCCTCTCTATAAATATTTTTGATGGAATTGTTCTAATGAGCTTTCCTTTGTGTTACATCGACCTCATGAATTTAAGCATAGTTCTAGATTAGCAACTAAGTGTCATTACTGTTGAATTAGCTAGATGTAACCATAAGTAACCATCGCACTTTTCACTTGTGGAACACTCTTCCTGCCAACTAGTATTTTCAAGAATGTAAATATCAATCTTCTGTTTTCCTGAATTCTGTTGTTTTCTAAAGTTTTCTCATTTTCTTGCACTCTCAGTAACCACGTGTGACATTATCGCTTTATTTGAGGTGAAATGATGAAAAAAAAAAACAAACCCAAACAGTCCTCAGCCAGACTCCTTTGGTTTTGCATCATCACAAAGTAAATATGCGGTGAAATGTTACCTTAGAATATTATGCCTTTCGATGACTGATGCTAAAGATAGTGCAATGATTTTTAATCATTTCACCCAAAGCAAGGCAATAAAGCCACTAAGACTTAAGGGATAAATGAGTGTTATAGAATACGAGAAAAATATACTATTAATTGGAGAATACAATAAAAGAACAATAATTAAGAAGACC